TTATAGTTTTAAATGACATGGGTAATTGTTATTCACCATTATTTGATTATGAGATGGATGCAATTAAAGTAACATTTGATAAAAATAATCTCTTTCTTAAAATTTAAATTACTTTACCATTTAAATTAAGTAATTTCAATCCATTATGCTCCAAATGGGAACCTATAATAGAGAAAACTGGATTTTAAATTGATATATTTTAAAGTTATTTAGCAGGTTTAGGTGGAGATATAAGCAATTTAATAACTATTGAATAAATGAAAGAATTTGATAATTTTAATTTAACTCTATCTACAGTATGTATTTAAACAGTTTTAAGAGCTTTAAAAATAATGGAAAAAATATTTAATAAATAATAATAGGAAATACATTAGAGTGTTTTAAAATCATTTGGTGGTACAGATGATGATTCAAATCATTCAGAGGATAATATTATTTAAGTATCACCTTATTCTGTTAAGAATTTAACAGGTTATCCTATAATTGTTGAATTTATTGATAATCAAAGATTACCTTCTTTAAATATACATATAAATTAACAATAAAATTTAATTTTTGATGATGAAGTAGAGAGGGCTAGTACTGGATAAAGAAGAGTTAATGTAACAATAAAAGCAGATAAAGTACCTTTTCCAATTAAACTAATTGATTTGGATAAAATAACATCTAGATTATATTAATAGGATTAACTTCAAGCCTTTGCAAGTGTCAAATTAGATTAAGTAACAAACTAAAAGATTTTGAGTTTATTTGCTCCTGTTGTAATTGTAAATAAGACTAGCAAATTAATAGTTATATCAATTAGTGATGACAAACATTAACAAACAATGAAGTTAAGTTAATAAAAAATAGATTAGGAATTGAGTCATATTGCACCTATTCCTTTAGGATTTGTGAATCCTAAAATAGCAATAAGGTTTAGTGAATGTTAAGATTATACTGAAGATATTCTGGTGGAGAATTTGATAAGATAATAAGAAAAGAATATTGAAATAGAGACAAGAGATGGGTAATTTATTTTGGTTAAGGTGAATGGAGACAATGATCATTAAGGAAAGATTGAGATAGAATTATAAACACCATTTAGAATTACTAATTCATTGCCTTTAGATATTTTTATCCAAATGATGAATCATAATAAAGAAACAACTTTCACAAAAAAGATTTGTAAAGAGTAAACAATAGAAGATTATTAACATGGTCATTATAAATGCAGTTATCTTAGAGTATATGTAGAAGGATATTATTGGTCTGATGAATTTAAATTGTAAGCTCCAGAAGAATTATAATAAAAAAATGATGATGGTATTTCAAAATTAACTTTAAATGATTCTAATAATAATACAACTACATTATTAATTTTTGAATCTTAAAGATAATAAGATTAATCTAAATTAACAAGAGAATATGTAATTCATTGTTCTGGTTATATTATCAATAAATCAGGAATACCTTTGAAATATTATACTAGTAATAATAAAAATGATTTGACTCCATTAGGAGGTATAGATTCTATAAATACTGGGGATCCTATAGAAAGATCAATAACATTATTGGGAACAGAATCTGGTAATATTTTATCATTGAGTCATATTTCAACCAATTAAAAAATATCATAATTCCCTATATAGATTTCAACAATTGGTGAACCTGAAATAGATGTAATAATTACTAATGAAGAAGATACAAATTAATTATTATAAACCTTTTTAGGTGCTAAATTAGATTTAGGAAGATGTAACAAAAAGTATACATTATTCAATAAAATAATTACACTTGAACCCAGATTCATTATTGTCAATAATTGTAATTAAGATATCCTCATAACTACAAATGATGATTCTTATTCTTAATCTGTTCCATCTAATTAAAGAATAATATTTTAATCTCTTTATAATTCAAAAAATAAAATTAGAGATCCTTGTTAATTTATTAATATGAATTTAGCTAACAATGATTATTCATTAAGTAGTAGATTAAATATTAGTGCTGTTGGCATTGTATATTATTAACTTAGAAATAGAGATAATCCAAAAGAAAGATTATATTTTAGTTGTGATACTCGTTAGGAAGGATGTAGTCTTTATATTATATTTAATTAATTACCAAAAGATTAAGCACCATATAAAATAGAAATGTTAGTTGAAAATTTAGAATTGGAAATTAAAGAATTAGATGTAATTATGAATGAAGACAATAATGTTACTTATTTTGCCTGGGATGATCCCCAAAGATTATAAAAAGCATTGAATGTTGAGTTAAGAATTAGAGATGATCCTAATGGAGATTACAAACCTCTTAAATATACATTATATCCAGATCATATAGGATTATTTTAAGTTTATACTTTTAAACCTGCTAAAGGATCTAAAGCACCATAAATACCAGTTGCATTATCAATTCTACCTAAAGGATGTTAGAAGTAAATTTAAATTACTAAAGCCACTCAAGAATAAGTAAAAATGTCTAAAACAAAACCTAAATAAGATTTCTTAAGACAAATTAAATAATAAAATAATTTAGAAAATGAAGATGAAGATGATTCAAGAGCTCAATCACTCTCCTTATAATCAAAATAATCAATATCTGAGAATAGTGATAAGATTGAAAATAGAATTAATCTGAAATTAAATTCATTTTCTCTATCTATAGTTCATAATTCAGATGTCAAAAGAAGAGCAGCTGAATTTTTCCATTTCACTTGTACAAATATAGAGTTTGTATCTATTTAAACTGTTTTAAATATGGTAGTATAATTAAGAGTATAATATATAAATTTTGATCACAATGCTGAATTCTTTGTATAATATCCAGTAGTAATTACTCCATAAAAATATGCATTATATCATGTTGCACCTAAATAATAATAATAATAATAATAATAATAACAATAATAATAATAGAGTGATAAATATTTCTTTAATGTCATGATTATTAAAGACAATAGAGTTTCTGATATTAAGCTATTCCAAAATATTACCTTTGAAGTAGATCCTTTTGAAATTAGAATAGAATAATTATTTATACTTAATCTCTTAGAATTTGTTTCAGCCATTACTTCATTCTAAACTTAAATTCATGAATTAGATAGAAATTAATCTGGAAGTTTTATTGTTGAGAAACAATTTTAAGTATTGAAATAAGAAGAAGAAAAAGAAATTGATTACAACAATTAAAATAATTTGTAATCTTTCATATAAATTAATGAAGAGTGGAGAACAAAGAAATTACCTGATGCTTAATTACCTACTTATATCAGTGAAATCATCATATCTCCAATCTAATTAAATTTAACAGTCTAAATGTCTGGTAAAGGAGATTTAAATATGGGTAAACTTGCTATTTTTGCTTCAGTTGCTTAAGCTGTTGGAGTTGTTTTATCAGATATTAGTGAAGCTCCAATCTTCTTTTAGGGATGGAAAATAGAAAATTGTTTTGATACTGGATCAGGTATAATGAATAAAATGATTCAATTTTATAAATAAGAGGGTATCAAATAAATTGGATCTGTTATTGGAAGTCTATCAATCATAGGTAATCCTATTGGATTATTAAATAATATTTCTACTGGATTTAAAGATCTAGTTGATAAACCTGCAGCCGGTCTAACTCAAGGACCTTTAGAAGCTGGATTAGGATTAGCATAGGGAGCTACATCTTTAGTATCACATACTATTGCAGGAGCATTTAGTTCAGTAAATAAAATTACAGGTAGTGTTGGAAGTGGTCTTGCTAATTTAACAATGGATGAAGATTATTTAAGAAAAAGAGAGAAATAAAAAATGCATAAACCCAAACATATAGGAGATGGTCTAGGACAAGGTGCTAAATCTATAATGACTGGTATTACAGATGGAATTACAGGAGTATTCTTAAAACCAATTAAAGGAGCAAAGGAATAAGGTATAAAAGGTGTATTCACTGGAACTGCTTAAGGACTTGCTGGTTTAATTATTAAACCAATAACAGGAGTATTAGATGGAATGTCTTAAGCAGCTGCTGGAATTCAAAATACAGTCTCATATTTTGATGATAAACCTAATAATAACAGAGCAAGAAATATTAGACCTGTCTATGGCTTAGAGGGTTATATAGCTGATTTTAATACTATTGATGCAGAAGGTTTCACAATGATACATTTTTTGAAAGGTGGAATCTTGCAAAATGATAGATTTATAGCATCTTATTTAATTGTTCCTGATATTAAAGAACCAGAAAATAAATTTATGTTGGTGATTACATTTGAACATTATATTTATATGTCATTTAAGACAAAGAAAAAAGTAAAAATATTACTATTTATGTTTTAGGTTTGGATTTTTGAGACAAAAGAAATAACTCATATAGAGATGGTTCCATCTGGAATAAAGATTTAGGTCAATAAGCCTCAAAAATAATTAAAAGTATTGTTATATAATAGTATTTAGAATAAATATGTAACTTAGATTCAAATATCTAATGAGGAAAGAGTAGAAGTCTTTAAAAACATGTAAGGGGTTTGGGAAGCTTATCAAGCACTTTAGAAATGAGTTTAAACTCTTTTTATGAATGTTATTTATATATATTAAAATCATTAATAAAGTATATATAAATTATTTGTATCTTTAGTTTCGTTCATAATTCTTTTCAATTTCAAAATAGAAAATGAAAATTAATTTAAATCACTATTAATAATTAATCATATTAAATAATTGCAATTTGAATATGTTTGAAAAATATTCATTTAGTATTAAGAGCATAAAATTGAAATTAGTCATATTTGCTTTTGAAAATTATCTAGTATGAACTTTAAAATATAAGTTATCCTACTTTATAAAATAGTGATTATCAGATCATAATGTTTGATTTAATAATAAAATCTATATCTTACTTACTTTTATTATTATAGATATAATTCCTTTATTAAAATTAGCAAAGATTCCAATAGAGGCAAGGCTTCCTTTAAATTTTGCAATTATGTTGAATAACTACCTTACTACCATGGAAAATTGAATATTTCATCATTTATTGGTTGAATTAAGTTGTTAATTTATGGATAATTAAACTTTTTTTGGTAAGCTTTTTAATTTCATTAGCCAAATTATGTTCAACCAATTCTCTATAGCATAAATGTGATCTAATATGATTCTACCCAACCTATATGAGGGTGTCATATTTAGTAATCTTGTTAAGAAATTTATAAATTCTTAACTCATATTTTTTGGATATTTTATTGGATCTATGATAATAATCTAGATTAGAGAGTAGATTTGAAAAGCCTAAAAAGAAGGCAGTTCAACAAATAGTCCATAAAGTATGACTTCCAAAGACCATAAATCAACTTTATGATTATTTTTAGACTAATTCTTTTGCATATAAAAAGAAATTCCTTTGCTTGAATAAAGAACTTTTTGAAGACATAGCTCTAGCAAACCCAAAATCAATTACTTTAACTATTAGATCTGCAGAATTTAATATATTTTATGGTTTCATGTCTTTATAAATTATTCAATTGGAATTTAGATAATGTAATACTCTGAGTAATTATTAAGCTATGATTCTAAATTAGTTCTCTGATATTTCGCAATAATTTTCAAAAATTTCAAATAATACACCTATCCAAACTAAATAATATTCTCTAAAAAAGATTACTTCTGTTTCTAAACAAAATTCTCTTGCAGTTTCAAATGTGTCTAATAATAATATGATATTTTCATGTATTCAATCTTCTTAATATTTCATTTTCCTATCTTAAATTTTCTAAATCTTTCTCTAACTTTCATCTTTTGCTACTAAATTTTAGAGCAGCAATCTAACTACTTCTTTTTAGTCTTTCCTTATAAACCTTAGGAAATAGGCTTCTCCTCTTAAATTGTAAGATGTGATTATTTTTCATTTGATTTAATTATTAGAATATAATAGGATGAATGTTATCATTATTTTATATTATTTTTATACATGGTTTTTATTTGTAAAAACTGCTTTTTATCTAATAAACTGAAGTAATTAACTATATAAATGGATAATTTCAGAATATTGGGTTATAATAATTTGGCACAAATTAGGTTGAGTGAGTAGATGAGTATATATATAATTTATTGATTCAAATATAAAATTTGATAATAAAATTAGTCAATATAATTGATTAGATAATATTAATAGAGTAAAAATTGATTAATTATTGATAATTATTTATTAATTGACAAATCCTTTCATAAACTTGTAAATTTAATTGATGGTGATGTTTGTCTTTTTTTATTTTAATTTAAGTTATAGTTTCTTTGACATAATTACGTATTACGATGAGTAGACAGAGTTGTAATAAATACCTGTCAGTTTATATTAATTATTAAAATCAGAACTCGATTCATAAAAAAACGGATAATAAATCCCTATTCTTATATTTTGTGTTCACATTTAGAATTCATTTATTATTTTACATTATTATGAAGAAATCTTCATTAATATTGCTATTGTTTTTGATATGTTCGCTACAAGGTAAAAGTAGTTAATATAGAATTTTAGCGTAACAGTTTGTTGAACTTTAAAGCGGAATTAAATTACAATCGCTTGAAGAATTGAATAATTTGGATACAGATAGTCTAGATTGTTCTCCAGGCCTAGAATAAGTGAGCAAGTCTATGGAAGCTTGGCAAGAGATACTTTCTAACCCTGATTAGATAGATAATGATATTGATAATTTGCGAAAACTTAAAGTAGCTGTGTCTGATTACAGAAAATCAGAAGGATAGAAGACAAGTATTACATAATTACAATATTTTAGCATTATTACAATATCACAGCACAAAGGGTTCTTTTGCATTTGTTTAATTAAGGCAGAGTGATAGAGATTCTTTATTACAATAATGGAGACAATATGGTCAAAATATATTAGATGGTTAATTGAATTTATTAGATGCTGCCTCATCAAAAGAAGATGCAGATTAATGTTGCGATAAAATTGAAGAGTTAATCAATAAGCTCTTGAGTGAAAGAGAATAAATAAGAGAACAATGCAAAAAACCATCAGTATTTTATTTAAATTACATATCTAGATTACAATTAATATCATCAATTCTAAATCTGATGATGTACAAAGAAGAGTTGAATCATGTTCTAAGGATGGAATCATTGTAAACACAGATGAAGAATAAAAAGTGATTATCAAACCTGAATAAGGAAGTTCACCTGTATCTGAAGAAGAACCTGTTAGTGCCTCAGCATTAGTTAGTTCATCTGATTCTGAAGATGATGAGGACACTGTAAATAAAAAATAACCATCAGATTATACAAATGATTAACCTATTAGAACTAAAGAAGTTGATAATGGTGATGAAGAAGGATCAGAAGATTTAGTTGAATATGGATATGGTTATTGGGCTAGATTTATGTTGGCTTATCCAAAGTTCATGCCTAAAGGTAAAGATGCTCCTTGGTACTTTGTTTCAAGATTGTCTGCTAATAAAAATACAGATAATATTAATATGGGAGATAGACTATTAGCTATTTGGTTAGGTAAAGGATTCTATCATTTCACAACATGTGATAAACCATAAAATCAACCCAATGTTGTTAAGAATGTTGACTATCCAGAAAATTTGGATGGTGTTTGGACATACATTTACTATTCATACAGTTCAGAAAAGAAAAAAGCAGTTGCTTATATTAAATTTGGTGAAAATGATTTTAAGAAAGTTGAACATGAAGTTACTCATCCAACAACAAAATTTGTTAGATTTACTGTTGGTGGCACAGATGATAAGAGATACCCAGGATTCAATGGTTTATTGAGTGAAATTTATTTCAGTGCTAAGAAAGGAGTCTTTATTGATAATGATGAAGACATTTAAGCCAAATTATAATCCATGAAAAGAATTCCAAAAGATTTTATTCCTGATATTGTAACATATAAAGTTACAACCAATCCTATCACAAGAAAACCAGAAGATAGAGAAATACACTAAATTATTGGTACTACTTCCAAACCAAAATTCCCTCATGAGTATGCCATAAGTGGATGGTTCAAATGGACACCAACTGATAAACAATAAGATTGGCACAACATCTTCAGAGTTTAGATATAAACTCCATCAACTGATAAATTCTTGGGAGATAGAACCTTATCAGCTTGGGTTGGTAAATCCGAGGGTGGCATTATTCATTTACCTACTTATACTGTAACTGACCTTGAAGGTAATGGAAATGCAAATCTTTTCAAGAACATTCCTCATAAAGATAGACACAATTAATGGTTCTTTGTTTATTTCGGATACTCTAGACCATAATAAAAAGCTAAAGCCTACATCAGATGGACAGATTCAGAGGATCATTAAGAATATGAAAAGGTTAGACATTTCACTGTTCCTAAATTTTACATCTTTGTTGGAAAAGATAAACATTTCCCAGGATTCAATGGAGATGTTGCTTTAGTTGCATTCAATATTGGAGAAGGTGCATTTAGACCAGGAAATGATTTGAAAGCTAAGAATGATGCTTTCAATGTAGTAATTGGATAAAAACAATTGTTAGGAAAATAACCAGATGATAAAGTTAAAGAAAAGGATGATGAAGATGATGATGATGGTATTACTACTCCAAGTTCTACTGATGATAATAAGCCTAAAGTTGATGAAACCAAAGAATCTGAAGAAGACTTAGTAGAATATGGTTATGGATTTTGGGCAAGATTCTTAACTGCTTATCCAGTTAGATTACTTAATGGAAAGAATGCTCCATGGTACTTTGTCTCTAGATTGACATCCAATCAAAACTATGGAAATATTGCTATGGGAGATAGAACTTTAGCTGTTTGGTTAGGACAAGGATATTATCATTTCACTACATGTGATAAGAAATCAAACAATCCAAATGTTATTTAAAATATCAATTATCCCAATGACATTGAAGGTGTTTGGACATACATTTATTATTCTTACAGTGCTTAAGAAAATAAGGCTATTGCATTCATTAAATATGGTGACTTAGAACCAAGATAAATCATTCACAATGTCAATCACCCAACAACTAAATATGTAAGATTCATCTTAGGTGGAAAAGACAGCAATAGATATCCAGGATTTAATGGTTTATTCAGTTAAATTGTTTTCTCTGCTAAAGAAGGAGCCTTCCTTGATACTTTAGATGATTTCAATGATCATATTTCTAGAACAATCATTCCAGTTCATGATTTGGATAGATTATATAAACATGAATTAGTTGAAGATACCATCTCAAGAAAAGTCAATGAAAACCCAATTTATGATGAATTAGGTGGTGGATCTTAAAAATTCCCTCATGAATATGCTATTAGTGGTTGGTTCAAATGGGAACAAACTTAATAATAAGTTTGGCATAATGTTTTCAGAGTTCAAATTAACAAACCATCTACTGATAGATTTTTAGGTGATAGAACTCTTTCATTCTGGATTGGTACAGCTTAAGGAGGTATTTTCCATTTTCCAACCTACACATACACAAACATGAATGGAGCTGGTAATCCAAATATGGTTAGCAATATTGTTCACAAGAATAGACATTTGGAATGGTTCTTTGTTTACTTTGGATACTCTAAAAATGAGAGAAAAGGATTTGTAGGAGTGAAATTCACAGGAGGCATTGAAACCATTGAATACAATAATGTCAATCATTACTATACTCCTTATTTCTACACATTTATTGGTAAAGATAAATAATTCCCAGGATTCAATGGTAAAATTGGATATGTAAACTTTGTTTTGGGAAGTGGCACTTTCAGAAAAACACCAGATTTCAAACATCCTAAAGATATTTTTGGATTCGATAAAGGAGAGTCTGCCTTACTCAGAAAACCAGATTCAAAGAAACCATAACCTATCACAGATGAAACTGGTGAAAAGTAATTACCAAATGCTCACAATGAAAATGCTCCTAAAGTGACCAAAGAATTCAGATCTGAAGTTTCATTTACTGAATATGGCTATGGATTTTGGGCAAGATTCTTAACTGCTTATCCTGTCAAATTAGCTAATGGTAAGAATGCTCCTTGGTACTTTATGGCAAGATTAACATAACATGAAAATTATGATAATATTAGAATGGGAGATAGAATTTTAGCAATCTGGTAAGGATAAGGATATTATCACTTCACTACCAATAATGTTCAACCAGCTAATCCAAATGTGATTAGAAATATTAACTATCCTGCAGATATTGAAGGTCTTTGGACACATTTCTATTTTTCATATTCCAATACAGGAAAAGCTGTTGCAATTGTTAAATTTGGTGATTTGGACCCAGTATCAGCTGAATTCCCTGTTAAACACCCTGATTTGAAATATCTTAAATTTATTTTGGGAGGAAAAGATTAAAATAGATATCCAGGTTTCAATGGATAATTCACCTAAGTAGTATACTCAACATCAGTGGGAGCTTTCATTGATTCTGTCGATAGTCACAAAAAATTCTTTGCTGACAAAGCTTCCCCACTCAAAGGAGGAAAAGTTCCACTTTCAACTACTAGAATAATTGATTCCTAAATTGATAGATAAGTTAACTCAGATCCAGTCAAGACAACTGTAGAAACTGCCTTCCCTAAAGAATATGCTTTTTCTGGTTGGTTCAAATGGACATAACCTACTCCATAATAAGCTTGGCACAATCTTTTCAGAGTCTAAATTGCCACTCCATCTACAGACAGAAATTTAGGAGATAGAACTTTAGCTGGTTGGGTAGGAAATGGAGGTATAATCCATTTGACAACTTATTCTTACAGAAATATGAATGGAGCTGGACCAAATAATTTGCCATAAAATATTCCACACAAGAATAGACATTTTGATTGGTTCTTTGTTTACTTTGGATATAACAGAAATGACAAATAAGGATATGCATACATTAAATGGAAAGACTCAGATGATAACTTAGATTTCAAAGACATTAATCATTACTTTGCTAATAGATATTATGTCTTCACTGGTAGAGATGCTTAGTTCCCAGGATTTAATGGAAAAGTTGCCTATGTTTCATTCAATGTAGGAGAAGGTGCCTCAAGAAGAGGAAATGATTTCAGTCATCCTGATGATGCATTCAGATTTGATAAAGCTGGCTAATTGATTCCAAAAGTAGATCCATCAAAACCAAAAGTTGATGAGAATACTGTTCATGTAAATAAGGTTGATAACAATTCTCCAAGAGTTGATGAAATCTTAAGATCAAATGATAATTTAGTTGAATATGGTTATGGATTTTGGGCTAGATTTTTAACAGCATATCCAGTTAGATTGATCCATGGAAAGAATTAACCATGGTACTTCGTCTCTAGATTGACTACTAACGAAGAATATGATAATGTTAGAATGGGAGACAGAGCTTTGGCTATTTGGTAAGGATAAGGATATTATCATTTCACTACATGCAATAAATAAAATGGTGCAGTTAATGTGATCCAAAATATCAATTACCCTGATGATATTGAAGGTGTTTGGACATACATTTACTATTCCTACAGTGCTGAAAAGAAGAAGGCTGTTGCATTTATCAAATATGGATAAGAAGACTTTAAATCAATCACTCATTAAGTTGTTCATCCAGTCACATAGAGTGTTAGATTTATTTTGGGAGGTATGGATGAAAAGAGATACCCAGCCTTTAATGGTGTTTTCACTAAAGTTACTTATTCACATCAAATTGGAGTTTTTGTTGATTCAGTAGATAAATTATAAGCAGGTGTTGTTCCATTAGTTCCAGTTGCATTAAGCAATACAAAGATTGTTGAAAACCCAATTGAGAGATCAGTTCAAGTTGCTCCAACTGAAACTACTGTTGGAAAAGATGAAGAATTACCAAAATTACCATCAGAATATGGCATAAGTGGATGGTTCAAATGGACACCTACCTAATAATAAGTTTGGCATAACATTTTCAGAGTATATATCAACAATCCAGCTAGTGATAGATTTTTGGGAGATAGAACACTCTCTTTATGGTTAGGTAATCTATAAGGTGGCATCTTGCATTTCCCAACTTATACTTATAATAATATGAATGGTGCAGGAAACCCCAATGTTGTTTAAAATATTCAACATAAAAATAGACACAACAATTGGTTCTTTGTCTACTATGGCTATTCAAAGGTTGATAGAAATGCATATGCTTATGTAAAATGGACAGATAGTGAAGATTCATTAAATTATGCAAACATCAATCATTACTTTGCACCAAAATTCTATATCACAGTTGGAAAAGATAAATTCTTCCCAGGATTTAATGGATTTATTGCACATGTTAATTTCAATCTTGGAAAAGGAAGTTACAGAAAAGGTAACGATTTCACTCATGATGATGATTTCTTCGGATTTACTACTGGTAAAGATAAATTATTCTAACCTGCTAAATAAGAACCTCTTCCAGAAGTTGAAAAAGCAGTTCATGCAAGCAAGACATCAGAAGATGCTCCAAAGGTTGATAAAGTCAGTCCTTAGGGTACAGATAATTTACAAGAATACGGATACGGATTTTGGTTGAGATATTTAACAACTTATCCAGAAAGATAAGTCAATGGTAAGAACTAACCATGGTACTTTGTTTCAAGATTAACATGGAATAAGGAATATGATAATATTAGAATGGGAGATAGAACTTTGGCTATTTGGTAAGGATAAGGATTCTATCATTTCACTACATGTAATATCTAAAACAACAATGTCAATGTTATTAAGAATGTAGATTATCCAGATGATATCGAAGGTCTTTGGACTTTTGTTTACTATTCATACAGTAAGAATGAAAACAGAGCTAAAGCATTTATTAAATATGGAGAAAGTGATTTCTAAGAAGTTGATCATCAAGTCACTCATTAACCAACTTAAGTTGTTAGATTCATTTTGGGAGGTACTGATGAAAAGAGATACCCAGCTTTCAATGGTTTATTCACTTAAGTCTATTTCAACACTAGAGTTGGTGCTTATATTGGTAATGTAGATGCAGCTAAAAAATTTGTTAATGATCTTTCACCAATTCCAAGAATCAGAGTCAGTGATTTAACTAGTAAGCCAATTGTTTCTGATGAAATTGAAAGATAAGTTACAGATAAACCAACAGAAGCAACTGTCGAAGAATAAAGATTAGCAGATGAATATGGAATTTCAGGTTGGTTCAAATGGAGTGAAGTAGCTTAATAACCATGGCATAACATTTTCAGAGTTCAAATCAAAACTCCATCCACAGATGCATTCTTAGGAGATAGAACTTTGACTTGTTGGCTTGGTACAGCTGAAGGAGGTATTTTACATATGCCAACATATTCATACACAAATATGAATGGAGCTGGTAATACTAATTATTGGAAGAATATTCAACATAAAGATAGACACACTAAATGGTTCTGGATGTACTTTGGATATTCAAAACCAAAGGCTTAAGCATATGCTTATGTTAAATGGACTGATTCTGAAGATTCATTAACTTATGATAAAGCTAATCACTATTATTCTCCAATTTATTACATCTTTGTTGGTAAAGATCCTCATTTCCCAGGATTTAATGGAAAATTAAATTAAGTCACATTTAATATTGGTGATGGATCATTCAGAACTGGAAACGATTTCACTCATCCAAAAGATGCTTTTGGTTTCAGTACTGGTTTGGATAAATACTCAAAGAAACCAGATGCACCTTCAGTCAAATCAGATGACAAAGTATTAGAAAGTGCTGAAAACTCAAAACCACCTGTTTTTGATAAAGATGCTAATTCTGATAAAAATTTAGAAACTTATGGATATGGATTTTGGTTAAGATATTTAACTGCTCATCCATTTAGATAATTAAATGGTAAGAACTAACCATGGTACTTTGTTTCAAGATTGACATGGAATAAGGAATATGATAATATAAGAATGGGAGATAGAGCTTTGGCTATTTGGTAAGGATAAGGATTCTATCATTTCACTGCTTGCAATTCTAAGACTGGTAATGTGAACTAAATTCTTAATGTTGATTATCCAGCTGATATTGAAGGATTATGGACATACTTCTATTATTCATTCAGTGTTGATGAAAACTAAGCTGTTGGTTTTGTTTAATATGGTGATTCTGAACCTAAATAAATTGTTCACAAAACATCACATGCTGCCACTAAATATGTCAGATTTTTATTAGGTGGTACTGATGAAAATAGATACCCTGCTTTCAATGGTCTATTTGCAGCCGTTTCATTCCAAACTTAAAATGCTTACGTAGGAACAGTGGATGAATTCAAGAAATTAATTGCTACAATACCAATGCCCTCTTAAGGAGTTAGAGATTTATCAACCTACAAATTAAGTGAAGTCATCACCAGAACACCATCTGACGATATCTCTAAAGAAGTCACTGTTGGAGGTGGTAAAGAATAATTCCCATCAGAGTATGCTATTAGTGGATGGTTCTAATGGAAACCAATAGCATAACAACCATGGCATAACCTCTTTAGAGTCACTCTTAAATAACCATCAACTGATAACTTCTTGGGTGACAGAACATTGACTTTATGGGTTGGTACTCCAGAAGGAGGAATTTTACATTTCCCAACATATTCATATCAAAATATGGTCGGAGGAGGAAATAACAATTATTGGAAGAATATTGCACACAAGAATAGAATTAGAGAATGGTTCTTTGTTTACTTCGGATATTCAAAAACTAAAGCTCAAGCTAATGTTTATGTTAAATGGAGTGATTCTGAGGATTCATTAACATATGATAAAGCCAATCATTACTTTGCTCCTTAATTATTTGTATTTTTAGGAAGAGACAAACATTTCCCAGGACACAGTGGTAAAATTGCTTTTGTAAGATTTAATTTGGGTAATGGTGCTCATATTGATAATAATAAGTTTGATCATCCATAAGATATATTTGCATTTAAAGATGGAACAGATAGATTATTCAAAAAAGAAGAGAAACTCTTACCAGATGAACCAACAAAAGATGTATTTGAAAATGGTTTCGAATAAAAACAACCAGTTATTAATAAGGAAAGCCCATCAGAAAATGCTTTAGATGAATATGGTTATGGATTTTGGATGAGATTCTTAACTTCCTATCCTTAGAGATTACCAAATGGTAAGAACTAACCATGGTACTTTGTTTCAAGATTGACATGGAATAAGGAATATGATAATATTAGAATGGGAGATAGAGCTTTGGCTATATGGTAAGGATAAGGATTCTATCATTTCACTACATGCAACTCAGTAGACAATAATCCAAATTACATTTAAAATAATAACTACCCAGAAGATATTGAAGGACTTTGGACTTATGTTTATTATTCATACAGCGATGACAAAAATAGAGCAGTAGGTTTTATCAAATATGGAAACTAAGACTTCTAATCAATCAAACATGATACAACTCATGCAACTACAAAATATGTAAGATTCATTTTAGGAGGTAATGATGAAGGTAGATATCCAGGATTTAATGGTATATTTAGATCTGTCACATTTGGTACAACAAGAGGTACTTTTATTGATAGTGTTGATTAAATGAATAATTATTTGGCTAAAGTTGGAACACCATCTTCTGAATTACCTGATTTGTTCAACTACAAGATTGTCGATTCCATTTAAAGTAGAGCAGCTAATGATGAGCCTGTATATAAAGTTGTTGGAAAAGATAATGAAAGATTCCCTCATGAATATGCAATTAGTGGATGGTTCAAATGGTAACCAACTGCCTAATAACCATGGCATAACCTTTTCAGAGTTCAAATCAAGACTCCATCAACAGATGCATTCTTAGGAGACAGAACTTTGACTTGTTGGGTTGGTACAGCTGAAGGAGGTATTTTACATATGCCAACATATTCATACACAAATATGAATGGAGCTGGTAATACTAATTATTGGAAGAACATTTAACATAAAGATAGACACACTAAATGGTTCTGGATGTACTTTGGATATTCAAAACCAAAGGCTTAAGCATATGCTTATGTTAAATGGACTGATTCTGAAGATTCATTAACTTATGAAAAAGCCAATCATTACTTTGCACCAGAATTCCACATTTATGCTGGAAGAGATAAACACTTCCCAGGACACAGTGGTGTTTTAGCTCATGTTTAATTCAATCTTGGTAAAGATGCTTTTAGAACTGGATCAGATTTCAATCATCCAAATGATGTCTTTGGATTTGGTAAAGGAAAGGAACTTATTAAAGCACCAGCTGAATTTAAGCCAAAAGATGCTGATAACACAGTTTTAACTAATGCTGCTAGCTAAGTTAAGCCAGTTGTTGACTAAGAAGCTAAATCAGATGCTCCATTTGAATAATATGGATATGGATTTTGGTTAAGATTTTTGACAGCTCATCCTGAAAGATTAATGAATGGTAAGAACTAACCATGGTACTTTGTTTCTAGATTAACATAATTTGAGAAATATGATAATATTAGATTGGGAGATAGAACACTTGCAATTTGGTAAGGTTAAGGATATTATCATTTCACCACTTGCAACATTGCACCATAAAATCCAAACTTAATCTAAAACATTGATTACCCTGCTGATATTGAAGGTTTATGGACATATATTTATTATTCATACAGTGCTGATAGCAATAAAGCAGTTGCATTCATAAAATATGGAGATTAGGAAATTAAATCAATTACTCATAAGACAACTCATGAAGCAGTTAAATACTTGAGATTCATTTTGGGAGGTAACGATGCTAATAGATATCCTGGATTCAATGGACAATTCACTTCAGTCACTTTTTCAACAGATGGAGCCTTTGTTGATGACACAGCCAAGATCAATGCTTATATTAATAACAATAAAGCACCATCAGTTGTTGTTGCACTATAAACATATAAATTAGTAGAGGATGCAATTTCAAGAGATTCAAATGCAGAACCTATTGATAAGACTCTCGAAGTTGGGCTACCATTAGAATATGCAGTTAGTGGTTGGATGAAATGGAAACCAACAGCCTAAGCACCATGGCACAACTTATTCAGAGTTACTTTGAAGACTCCATCAACAGATGCATTCTTAGGAGACAGAACTTTAACTTGTTGGGTTGGTACAGCTGAAGGAGGTATCTTACATATGCCAACATATTCATATACAAATATGAATGGAGGTGGAAACACAAATTTCTGGAAGAACATTTAACATAAAGGAAGAATTACAGAATGGTTCTATATTTATTATGGATATTCAAAGATTTCAAGAAAAGCTTATGCCTTTGTTAAATGGACTGATGGAGAAGACTCTTTGACTTTTGATGATGTAAACCATTATCTTGCTTAAAGCTTGTATGTATATGTAGGAAGAGATAAGCATTTCCCAGGACATAGTGGTAAGATTGGATACTTCAATTTCAATGCAGGTGAAGGTGCATTTGTGACTGGAAATAAATTTGATCATCCTAAAGATATCTTTGGATTCTCAATTGGATCTGATAAATTACTTACCTAAAGAGATGCTGAATTAAAACCAGGAGTTCCAGTTACTGAATAATTACCAAATGGATTTGAAGACAAGAAACCAGTTATTGAGAAAGATTTGAATGCAGATCAAGATTTAGAAGAATATGGTTATGGTTTCTGGATGAGATTCTTAACTGCATATCCTGCTAGATTAATATCAGGTAAAAATCAACCATGGTACTTTGTTTCTAGATTGACACAACATGAATAATATGATAATATTAGAATGGGAGATAGAACATTAGCTATTTGGTAAGGATAAGGATTCTATCATTTCACGACTTGCAATTCAGTGAATAATAATCCAAATGTTATCCAAAATATTGATTATCCTGCTGATATTGAAGGATTATGGACATATATCTATTATTCATACAGTGATGACAAAGCCAGAGCAGTAGGACTTATTAAATATGGAAATGATGATATCAAAGCAATTCGTCATGATGTTACCCACCCTGGAACAAAACGAGTCAAATTTATTTTAGGTGGTAATGATGTTGGAAGATATCCAGGCTTCAATGGTATTTTCACTTAAGTCACATTCAGTGCTTCACCTGGAGCATTTATTGATTCTCCTGATAGATTAAAACCACATTTAGAAAAGATAGGAACACCAAATTCAGTTGTTAGTGAATTGACTAATTCAGTTCTTGTTGATTCTTTGATTGCTAGAGATAAAGGAACAGATCCTATTGAAAAAACAGTTGGAAGTGAAACCACAAGATTCCCACATGAATATGCAATAAGTGGATGGTTTAAATGGACACCAACTGCACAAGAAGTTTGGCATAACGTATTCAGAGTTACCCTCAAATCACCTTCAACAGATGCTTTCTTAGGAGATAGAACCTTAACTTGTTGGGTTGGTACACCAGAAGGTGGTATTTTACATTTGCCAACATATACTTATGCTAACATGAATGGAGCTGGAAACACTAATGTTTGGAAGAATATCCCTCACAAAGATAGACATACCAAGTGGTTCTTCTTATATTTCGGATACACAAAGTTATAATAAAAAGCTTACTCTTATGTTAAATGGACAGATGGAGAAGATAGTTTGAAATATGACAATGTTAATCATTACTTTGCACCTTAATTCTTTGTATTCGTAGGAAGAGATAAACATTTCCCAGGATTTAGTGGTAAATTAGCCTATGTTAACTTTAATGTTGGAGAAGGATCATTTAGAGGAGAGAATGACTTCAAACATCCTAAAGATGTATTTGGTTTCGAAATCGGACAAAGCAAATTATTGGATTCAAAGAAAGGTGATTTCAATCCAAAAGAATTGTAAAAGGACTAAGTCTTGGAAAATCATTTTGAAAATGATAAACCAACAATTGAAAGAGATGAATAATCAGGTGACTTACCATTTGAAGAATATGGATATGGATTCTGGATGAGATTTTTAACTGCCTATCCAAAGAGATTAATTAGTGGTAAGAATGCTCCTTGGTACTTCTTGTCAAGATTGACATACAATGAGAAATATTAAGATATTGCTATGGGAGATAGAACATTAGCCATTTGGTAAGGATAAGGATTTTATCATTTCACAACTTGCAGTATTGCACCTGCTAATGTTAATTTGGTTCAAAATATCAATTTCCCAGAAGACATTGAAGGATTATGGACATTTGTATATTACTCTTATAGTGCTGATGAAAATAAGGCTGTTGCATTTATTAAATATGGTGATGGAGATATTCAATCAATAACTCACAAGACTACACATCCAGCTGTTAAATTCTTGAAATTCATATTAGGAGGAAATGATAATAAGAGATATCCAGGATTTAATGGATAATTTAGATTGGTGACATTCTCAACACAATCTGGTGCCTATGTTGATAAGATGGATACAATTAATGATTATGTAAGAAAGAACCCAAGTCCATCAACATTAGTTCCATTATAATCAAATCAAATCATCAAAGATCCAGTCTCAAGATAATTTGGAGATGACTTAGTACAAAGAAGATTTGGTGGTGACGATAACAAGTTCCCATTAGAATATTCATATAGTGGATGGTATAAATGGATTGATGGACCTAATCTTAATGCTTGGTATAACTTATTCAGAGTGACAATCAAAGATCCATCAACAGATTAATTCTTAGGAGATAGAACATTGTCAGGTTGGATTGGATTTGGTAACTTACATGTACCAACATACTCATATGCTAACATGAATGGTGCTGGTAATGTGAATATATTTAAGAACATTGAACATAAGAACAGAATTTTCAAATGGTTCTTTGTATACTTTGGATATTCAAAGAAAGACTAAGCTGCATATGCATGGGCTCAATGGTCAACTGGTGATAAGGATTCTTAATCTTGGGATAAATGTAATCATTATTTGGCTCCAGAATTCTTTGTATATGTTGGAAGAGATAAGCATTTCTAAGGTATGAATGGTCAATTAGGAGCAATCAACTTTAATTTAGGATAAGGATCATTCAGAAAAGGAGATGATTTCACTCATGATGAAGATATTTTCGGATATAATGCAGCATTTACAAAGAAATAACCAGCTTAATTTAATTTAGATAGTAGAGTTGCTAAAGTGTTGACATCCAGTGTTGATTAAAAGGATCCAACATTCACCAAGAATTTCGATGGAGATGAGGTTGACAATGTAAGTGAATATGGTTATGGATTTTGGTTAAGACATATGAACATGTATCCAGTTCCAATGAATAGAGGTGTTTAAGTAGATTGGACATTTGTAGCTAGATTAAGTAAGAATGATAAATTGGCTGATATTGGTTTGGGAGATAGAGTTTTAGCTATTTGGTAAGGAAGAGGATACTATCATTTCACCACTTATAATGGTGGAAATCCAAATAATGTGAATAATGTCAATTTCCCATAATTATTGGATGGTATTTGGACATTTATTTATTACTCTCACAATTTAGATAAGAAGTAATCAATTTCATTTGTTAAATATGGAGATGGTGATATTATCAAGAATGTTATTGCAGCAGAACACTTACCACCCTTATTACTTAAATTCTATTTAGGAGGACAACACTTAGTTTATAAAGGATTCAATGGTTAATTCTCAGATGTGATAGTTTCAGCTAATAAAGGTGTCTTTGTTGAGAATATTGATGACATTAAAGCATTATTAGAAAAAGTATAATAACCAGCAACCTATGTTCTTGATGTTAAGACTAAATAAGTCATAGAAAAGGAAGCAATATTTAATGATAAGACAGAATAAAAAGAAATTGTTTATGATGATTTGGCATTAGCTCCAGAATACTCTTGGAGTGGTTGGTTCAAATGGACATTCATTCCAAATTAATAAGCATGGCATTTAGGTGTTCGTTTGAGTGTTTTGTAATCAAGTGAAAACCTTTCATTTTTGGGAGATAGAACATTATGTATGTGGGTAGGAACACCAGAAGGAGGTATATTACACTTTACTACTTATAACTATGCAAATATTTATGGAGGTGGTAATGTTAATTCATGGTAGAATGTTAAACACGATGATGATCATGCAAGATGGCATTTTGTTTATTTCGGATACTCTAGAATTTAAAGATAAGCTTATGCTAGAGTTGAATTTAGAGGAAGAGTAGAAGAAAGACCATATAAAGATCACAATCATTTCATTGCTAATGCTTTTTCATTCTATGTTGCTAAAGATAAATGGCATGCTCCATATAGTGGTACAATTTCAACTTTGAGATTCAATGTTGGTGATGGAGTGTTCAGAACTGCTGAATATGAAAAGGCTAAAGATGATATTCATGGATATGATTCTGGAAGAGCATTGTATTTCAAAGCATTACCAAAAGTAGATTTAGATAAAGATTTGTAAAAGGGTGTATTGGATTCACCATAAAATGGAAAGGATCCATTAATCACTAGAAAATTGTAAGGAAGTGAACTTGAAGACAATACTGAATTTGGTTATGGTTTCTGGTTGAGATTCCTTACATAATATCCAATTGCATTGAAATAAGGATTATAACCAGCATGGTCATTTATTGCAAGAGTAACTAGAAATCAAGATTTGGGAGATATCAGATTAGGAGATAGATTATTGGCTAATTGGTTCAATAGTGCTAATTATTATCATTATACTACAAATCATGCAGGAAATGTAAATGCAGTTCAAAATATTTAAACTGGTTAAGATGTAGAAGGTGTTTGGACATATTTGTTCTTTGCACATAGTGATAATGTTGATTAATCAGTTGGATACTTGAAGATTGGAGATAAATTGTAGAAGATTGTAATTTAATCATAAATTCCAGTTCCATAATTCTTGTAATTCTATTTAGCTGGATCATAACTTAATTATCCAGCATTTAATGGTCAATTTGCTAATGTTGTATTCTCTGCTGGAGAAGGAATTTTCAAAAAAGATGAAGCTGATTTCAATGCTTGGTTAGAAAAGTTTGAAAGACCTGCCTAATTCAATACTAATTTAGTTACAAAGAAAGTAATTGAGGATCCAAAAGAATTCAATAAAGATACTCCATCTGATGAAATTGTATATAATGACTTTGCACTTGTTGGTGAATACTCTTGGTCAGGATGGTTCAAATGGACTCCAACAGTATAATAACCATGGCATTTGATGGTTAGATTCTCAATTCATTAGGCATCAGAAAATATATAATTCTTAGGAGATAGAACATTGAATGCTTGGGTTGGATAAGGATATTTCCATTTCACAGCATATACATATGTTAATCTTAATGGAGGTGGAAATGTTAATTAATGGTAAAATATGAACTATGAAACAGATCATACTAAATGGCATTTTATCTACTTTGGATATTCAAAAGTTTAATAATTGGCTTAAGCTAAAGTTGAATTCAAGAATAGAGTTGCAGAATTATCTTTCAAGAATACAAATCATTATTTACCAAATAAATTGTCAGTTTATGTTGCTAGAGACAAATGGCATGCAGTTTATAGTGGTAATATTGGTCATTTAAGAGTCAATGGAGGAGAAGGTGCATTCAATCCTACAGGTTATGGTGATGCTAAAGATGATATCTTTGGATATTAGATTGGAAAGGATGCATTTGTAGAGAAAGAAGCACCTGTAGATGAATTGAGAGAATAAGAAATATTAGATTCAGCATTCAATTAAGAGAAACCAGTTCTTTAAAAAGAATTTAAGGATGATGATTTAGCTGGAGTCTAAGAATATGGTTATGGTTTCTATTTCAGACATTTAGAATAATATCCAGTTTAAATGAGAGATGGTAGATTAGCACCATGGTACATAATGTCAAGATTATCATGGAATAAGGATGAAGGAGATATTAGAATGGGAGATAGATTATTAGCAGTTTGGTAAGAATAAGCAGCAATATTGTTTGTCACAAATGATTTACCAGGAAATCCAAACTTATTGTCTAGAATAGCAGTTCCAGAAAGAGAAGGAGTTTGGACATTCTTATACTTCAGTTATTCATTGGAAGATTAATTAGCTGTTGGTATATTGAAGTTTGATGGAATTGATGAAGTATTCCATACATCAATGAAATGTAATCATGGTAAAATAAGTTATTTGAGATTCACTTTGGGATCTGCACCTCCACATTTCTATCCAAGATTTAATGGTCAAATTGCTAATTATGCAATCAAATTTGGTAAAACTGGATTTGTTAGAAATTATGATGCCTTAAAGAAATATTTGGACAACAGAATACCACATCCAGCATTAGAAGATAAGGCTTTGAAGACATTGAAACATTTAGAAGAAGAAAAAACCTATAAAGGAGATAGTTAAGAAGAACTTGTTGTTGAAGTTTCAGGTGATTTAGCTAAATTTGCAACTGAATATTCAGTTTCAGGATGGTTGAGATGGGATCAACCACCTATTGGAGTACCTTGGTTCAACGTATTCAGATTGAGTTTATACTCTCCAGATGCAAATGCTGAAGGAAGATTTGGTGATAGAGATTTATCCTTATTCAAACATGCCACTTATTATCATTTCTAAACTTATAATTATGCACCAGGATTACCATGGATTTATGGATTCGATTTCCCACATGAAGATTAACATACATAATGGCATTTCTTCTATACTGGTTACTCAAGAGATAAGAGATAAGTCTATCATTATATATCATTCTTAGAAGCAGAGGCTGACAAATTATTCGAAAAACAGACACATCTTGTTGTCAATAAGCACTATTTCTCATTTGGTAAAGATTTCAAGAAATTCTATGCAAGTCATAGAGGTGTTACTGGTATTGGTAATCTTGTCAACATCAATTATGGTAATGGAGCATATACAACTAAACCATTCTTAAACAAAGAAGGAGAAGACAGACCTGATGCATTTAATTTCAATAAGGGAAGAGATATTTATACTCCTAAATTCCCATTAAAGGAATTCAATACTGAAAAGGATAAATTATTGGAATGTATCTTTGATAAGGCTGAACCAAATGTTCTTTTGAAGATCGAAGATTCTAAAGATGTACCCACTAGAGGATTATAAGAATATGGATGGTCGACTTGGTTAAGATGGTCAAGAACTGGACCTAAATCAATGCCCTGGAGAATTGTTTGGCATAACATTGCTAGATTGACAAGTAAAAGAAATCATGGAGATTTATCACAACCAGGTGATAGATTATTGGCAGCATGGTTATTCACTAACTCTTATTACTTCTCTCATTCACCAAAAGGTGTAGGAGAATAAGTCTAACACATCCCATGGAAGGTTATTGATGGAGAATGGAATTTCATTTCTATTTCATACAAGAAAGGAGAAGTTAAGGCTTATGTGTTCTAGAAAGGAGAAGTTTCAGATTTCACTTGGAAAGCTAAACATGATTTAGTTGGAGACTATTTAGAATTCATTTCAGGAAAAGAATTTGGATATAACTTCTTCAATGGATATATGTGGGGATTATCATTGAAATTAGGTGATGGAGCTCACTTTGCTGATTAAGATGCTGTTAAGGCTTATGTCACTGGAGCAATGAAATTACCAGATGAATACAGATTTGATTAGACCAGAAAGACTTTACCAATAAAGAAGGATAAGGTTAAAATTGATGCTGCAGCTGAACCAGATATTGTTACAATTGAACCAAAAGATGCTAATGGAAAAATTGAATATGCTATTTCAGGATGGGCTAGATGGACTGATATTCCTAATATTGGACCTTGGCATCTTGTATACAGAGTCACTTGTTGGGATAAAGATCTAGTTGGTAACATGGATAAACCAGGAGATAGAACCATGTCTATGTGGAAGGGATTAGGATTTTACCATCAAACTGTATACACTGTTGATTAAGTTAATGGTGGTGCTTGGTCTATCCCATAAAATATCGATTATAAGGGTACCCTACATAAGACTTGGGTGTTTATCTATTAAGGTTATTCAAGAGAAAAGTAGAAGGCTCATGGATTTATTAAATTCCCAGATTCAGAAGAACATAGAGATTTCCCTAATATTAATTAATTTGTACCCACTTACTTCACTGTATTATGGCATAAAGATAAATGGCATCCAGGATTCAATGGATAAATGGAAAATTGGTTCTTCAATGTTGGAACAGGATCTTATAGAGAAAATGGTTATGATGATGGTGAAACTGAATAATTAACATTCGGATTTGGAGGAAGAGTTGTTCCTGAATTGAAACCATGGAAGGTTGATGATATCTTTGATTCCGCTTGGGGACCAGATTAGAAGGTTGGAAAGGAAGTTGAACTTATTGATGATGCTATTAATGGAGTTACTGAATATGGTTATGGATTCTGGTCAAGATTCTTATGGAATGGACCAAATAAATTAGTTGATAAACCTGCTTGGATGGCTTTGTCTAGATTCACAATCAACTAAAATTATTAAGGAGATGCTGCATAATAAGGAGATAGAACTCTTGCTATTTGGGTTGGACAACCATTCTATCATTTCACCACTTACACTCCAGGAAATAATAATGTTGTTTAGAATATTCAATATGGATAAATGTTGGATGGATAATGGAATTATGTTTGGTATGGATATAAGAGATTTGATAAGACAGGAAAAGTTTAAGGACACATAGTATTTAATGGTGATTAAGTCAGATCAACACAATTCCCAGTAGTAACTCATAATCCAATTACTGATTATGCTTACTTTGCAGTTGGATCATCAGGTAGCAAATTACTCAAAAATTATCATGCCTTCAATGGACAATTAGGATTAGTCAGTTTGATATTAGGAAATGGCGGATATATTGAATCAGCAGATGATTTGAAAAAGAATATGCCAGGAATGCCAAAAGTTCCAGAATTGAATTTAATTAAGAAGACTGTCTTTGAAGATATTCAAACAATGAAGAGAGAAGAAGCCACTATGAAACCTTATGAATATGCTGATGAATTTGCAGGATAATAAGAATATGCAGTTTCATTATGGTTCAGATGGAGTTCAATTGGAAGAGTTGCTTGGGAGAATGTTTACACATTGTCATATCATGATTAAGCCTCAAGAGCAAACCATGTTAGACCAGGAGATAGAGTGTTATCAGTATTCCAATATGTTGATCACAGAATCTTCTTCAGTACATACACTACACCTGAAAATCATGATGCTTTCGCTTAAATTTTCACTGAAGCCCCAGTACCAACTCTTGATTAAACTGCTTGGGTTTATGCTTATTATGCATACAGTAGAAAGGCATAATCAGTGGTGCATTTCATGAAGACAAGAACAACTGAAAATGAGAAGAAATTAGGATGTATGCATAGAGTTCCTAAATATTTAGGATTATGGGCTGGTAAAGATGGTATTCACACACCTTACAATGGTAAATATGCACATATGTACCTTTATGCTGGACCTGGATCATATAGAGAGAAGGATTACTTATCATATGAACCATATATTGCAGGTGCTCTTGGAATTTAAGCAAAACCATGGAAATGGAATGAAAAGAAGGACTAATTTGATATTGCTGATAAATAAGAAATTGAATTAGATGCTAATGCAATTGATGGACATTCAGCATATGCTATTGGAGTTTGGTTGAGATACTTAACTGCAATTCCAAAGAGAATTTTGGAGAAATAAGCTAGAATGGCAGTATATAGATTCACTTAGAATAAATAATTGGAAGATAGTGCTAAAGTAGGAGATAGAACATTAGCATTATGGTTAACTACTGGACAATATGGATTCAGAACATATAATTTGGCTAATAACAATCCAAGTCTTTCTCAAGATATTAATTATGATGATAAGTTGGAAGGAGAATGGAACTTTGTTTACTTCTGTTTCTCAAGTGCCAAATAATAAGCAGTAGGATATGTCAAATTCTCATCAACTGGAGATGTCAGAAGAGTTTCATTCCCAGAGATTGCTCATAAACCAATTGAAGGATTTGGAAAATTGTATTTGGGTGCTACATTCACTTATTAAGGATTCAATGGTCAAATGTCATAGTTGTAAATGTTGTTTGGTGCACAAAGTTATGTTTCAGATACTGAAGCCTTGGAAGCAATTATTAAAGGAACATTCACTGCACCTGAATTGGATGAACCAGGAATTCAAACTATTAAACTTTAAGATGAAGAGGTTAATAGAAAGGTTGATGAAGCTGCAGTTGTTAAAGAATGGCCAGATCAATATTAAGGATCATTAGAATACGCCATTTATGGATGGTTCAGATATTCAAGTCCAACCTTGAAGAAAGATAATAATGTATTGTTAAGATTGACCAATAATGAACCTGCCTATAGAAAAGAAGCTGCTATGGTTGGAGATAGAACTTTGTTAATTATGTATCAACCAAGAGAAGTTGTGTTCTCAACATATACTTTAGGCAATGTTGATAATGGATTGATTGCCAACATTAGAAAACCAACACCAGTTGGAAACAATTTCGGTGTTTGGACATACGTATGGTTTGGATACAGTTGGCCAAAGAGAGCTGCTTCAGGAGTTGTCAAATTCCCAACAGAAACAGTTGTTGTTCCATATGAAAATGTGTTACATATGATTCCTAAGTATTTGGCAATGTTTGTTGGTTCAGATGGTATGTTAGGAGGATGGGAAGGTCCAATTAGAAAGGTTGGAGCAGTCTTTGGAAAAGGAGCATATGTTGATACCAAGAAAGGCAACTTCGAATCACTTTTACCAGAAGTCTAAAGTTTAGTAGTCAAGAAGGCCTAATGGAAACCAGAAAAGGATGGTTTGATCTATGTTCCATAAGGTGAAAAATTCGATCAACCAGGATATGATGTTACATTCAAAGATGAAGTTGGTGGTGTAAGTGAATATGGTTATGGATTGTGGACTAGATGGTTAATGACTACTCCTTAAAGAGTTAATGATAAATCACCATTCAATCATCTTGTTAGATTGACAAATACTGAAAAATATGAAGACAATGCTGAATTTGGAAATAGAATTTTAGCTACTTGGGTTGGCAAAGGATATTATCATTTCACAACTTATGACAAGAAGACAAATAAGATTTCAATTGCTTAAAACATTAACTATGATGATTATCTTGAAGGCCATTGGAATTATATTTATTATTCATTCACTTCTAAGGATCAACCAAGAGCTGTTGGTTTTGTACTCTTTGGAGATTTACCTGAAAACCCTGTTGGAAGAATTGAATTCCTTGATATTTAACATACACCATTGAATGGTTATGCAAGAGTTGTAGTAGCTAATAATGAATTCGGATATCCAGCTTTCAATGGTATGATCTCAGATTTCAGAGTCAATTTTGGATAAGGATTTGTTGGATCAAAAGAATAATTCCTCAAAGACATCATCTAAACATATCCAAAACCAAATATCAGAGTTCCATAAAGAACAGATGTTAATGTCTTAAGAGAATAGAAGAACTTCGAAAAGGATAATCCTAATCCAATTAAGAATTTCTATGATTAATATTAAGGTGTCCTTGAATATGCTGTTTCTGGTTGGTTACAAGCCAAGAAGGGAAGCAGTGAAGAAACTCTTAAATCAATCTTCAGATTAACTATCAATGCTCCAGGATATTAGAAAGATTCAACCAATGCTGGTGATAGAACTTTAGCTGGTTTCTAATCTAAAGATTCATTCATCCTATCCACTTATGATTATGGAAATCTTGATACTAATGATGATGATCAAAATGATCTATCCACTAAATTCTAAATTAAAGAAAACTAAGGAGAATGGGTTTATCTCTACTTTGGATATTCTTCAAAGGTTAGAAAAGGATTTGCTTATGCCTTATATCTAAATAGAGAAGATAGTTTCTCATTCAATGGACTCAAACACTTTGTTCCAAATCAATTCTGGTTCTACTTAGGAGCTGATGGCTTCAATCAACCCTTCGAAGGAACAATGTTTAACTGGAATCTTCATATTGGTGATGGTTCATTTAATATCAAACCTAAATCTCAAATTGAATTATGGCCATATGAACCAAAACAATCAATGGATTAAGTACTTTCAGTACTTTTGGGCAACTAAGGATTGAGCTCAATTAAATTAACTAGAAACATTCCATAATCTGGAAATGTAGATAAAGTTGCTGGTCCTGCATCAGGATAATTTGAAGTTGGAACTGGACCTAAATCAGGTTAAGTTAGTTCAGCTGATGGACCTAAATCTGGTTAAGTTGACTCCGCTAATAAACCTAAATCAGGACAAGTTGATAAAATAGATGGAGCTAAATCAGGAGAACCTTAACCAGGTTCTAAACCATAGTCAGGCGATTAAGTAGTAACCGAATGAGCTTGATATTACATATACACAATAATAATAAAACATTCATAATTATACTTTTTCTTTTTTTTATTTCATTATAAAATTAAATTTTTAATTTCTACAAAGGTATTTGATGTGGATTATAAATTTAAATTCGAAGACTTTAAAAAAATAATTAAATATCTATTCAAATTAACAAGAGAAAATTTACACTCTTTAGGATTACTAATTGCCTTTTCCATTTTAAGGTTGATTTTAATTTGAAAAAATGATTATGAATAATTTTATCTCAATACTTTATGAATATAAAAGGGAATAATGATTTTAATTCTACAGTATTTTAATTTAAAAATAGATACATAACCTTAAGATATTAAAGTTATATTGTATTCATTTTTGATACTTGGGTGATAATTTTAGGGAAAAATAAATAGTGTTAGATATTTTTGAACGAAATAGAAGAAATTAAATTAATTATATTCAAACTAATATAAATATGTCTCAATAATATATAAAATACAAGAAAGTTAAAATTGAATTTATGAATATTCAAAATATATAGAAAATTCATATCGTATCAAATGTAATTAAATTGTTTGCAAAAAATTAAAAATATTTTCTATAATATAAAATGCTCATTTCATAAATAAGAAATTAAAACTAGTCTTTACATAAGAATGTTAATAGATAAATATCTATAGATTTCTAATAGGAATTTAAGACTAATTCAAATTTTTGTCTCCACTATTAAAAGTCTTTGATTATCTAAAAGAATTTCAATAAACTTAATTTTGTGATATTCTACCATTTAATATCTAAAAAAACAACAAATTATGAGGCTCATTAAAGATTACATTAAAGTAAATTTAGAGTAGTTTGAAGAATATTTTTCCAAAAATGAATGAAGGTTTCACTCATAATACATAAATATTAATGTAAATGGAGATTTAACTAATATTTGTGAATTTCTCTCTCCTCTTATTAAAAGTAATGAATGTCTTTTAGCAAAGTAATACATTAATTAACAAATAAAACTGAAAATGATTTTTTATGATTTCCATAATTCTTCAGGCTCGAAATGTAATTTTAGATATCAATGGTGTAGATTACTTGTGATTAATATAGGATGAAATGTAAGACTTTGAAGATCTTGATTTTTTATAAATGTTTCATAAATTTTATGAGTAGTTAGTAAATAGTATTTAAATTCTTAATAAACATTTTGTAAAACTAAAAAATAATTCAGAATGCAATTTAATTTAGAAACTGATAATAACCTAATAATAAGTGATTTTAGGCCAGAGGAATGTATAGACTTCCTCTCAATGGAATCTATTTCAGATGTTGGAATTTAGTTTCCAAAACCATAAAATAGCAAATATGATGTTGATCCTCCTCCAAATTCAAAAGACTTAAAGGAAAAGGTAATTCTAAGTCCATTATCACCTAATTTCGAAGGACTAAAAGAGTGTGAATAATTAATATTACTATCTCCTTAAAATTTATCATAAAGACCTATTTAAAAAAAGTCATCAATATAATTGATTAAAAAAAACCAAAAATAATCAGCAAATGTCAGTGGAAGTTTTATGAAATATTTTCACACTCGTAGATTTGTTAACAGAATATTGAGAAATAAACATATGTTTCATAAATTACAACCAATACACTTAGAAATAATTAATGATGCTTCTTCTCATTATGATAATGAAATATTTGGTCAAAAATCTCATACTTTCAAACCACTTGGATTAATGAAAACTTTACATTTATCTATATCTCCAAGTCTTACTAAAAAAATTATAGCTAAATACAAATAGATATCTAATTTAATTTTGAAAAAGTTTTAATAGGTTTTAATCTAAATTCCAGTAATTTAACCTGAGAATAAAGGAAGAATCATTTGGGATGTAGTTCTTTCAATAACTAGATTGTATTTTATTATCCTAATTCCTATTGATATGGTATTTGAAGAAAGATTGTTATATTCAGAAAAATTAATAATAATTACTACTTTATAAACATTTTTATTGATTTTTGACATGTTTATCAATTTTAATACAGCTTATTATTAATTTGGATAAATAGTATCAGAAAGATCAAAAATAATACAACACAATTTTAGCAAGGGTTATGGATTAGATGCCTTTTCAGTAATCTTTTTAATTTGTTTGTTGTTTGTGAATTGGGATTAAATTGGAGAATATGAACCTTTTGTATTTATTGGATTATTATCATTTACTGTTTAATACTAAAATATAACCAAGTTAACTAGAATTTTTGAAGAAGTTTTAAATCTTAATAAAATTTAGGCAGGTTTTTTAGAATTAGCAAAATTAATCACCTTATTATTATACATTTTACATATTTCTGCTTGTATTTGGATTGGGGTATATATTAGACCATATAATAGTGTGGCAGAATAAGTTCATCTGTAAATAATGGTAATAGTTGGATGATTAAGGAAGATATACTTTATGAGCAATGGATAGTTTAATATTTGAGATCGTTTTATTTCTGCACTGTGACAATGTTTACTATTGGATATGGCGATCTAACTCCTTAATGTAGAGTATCGTATTAACTTTAGCTAATTTAGAATATGTGACATGCATCATATTTATTATGATTTTTAGTATCTAATTACCTTATAGTGTTAATACTGTAGGAGCTATAATTGATGAAATATCTAAATATAGTGAATAAAAATTATAGAAGCTACGTATAATTAATACATATATGGCTAAAAAGAAGATAACCTATGAATTATAGGTGAAAATTAGGTAATATTTAGCCTATTATTGGGAATGTCAAAATACTTAAATATCTTAAGAAGTCAAAGGTATTTTGGAGTAATTATCAGAAAATCTTCGAGATTCTTTAATGTTAGAAGCAAACTCAATTATTTTAAATAGTTGTGATATGTTTTCTAAATTTCTTTCTCCTGGGTTCACAAAGGCTTTAGTAAATAAGATTAGATATTTGGATGTTCAACCTGAGAATATAGTTGATTTTTCAGATTAGCCTGATTCACATTAAAATTATTATTTAGCATTTATAGAAATAGGAACAATATAAGTTATTTAAGATTAAAATAATTGTAAAAATGATTCATATATTAAACAATTAAGTTCAGGTTAAGTGTTTGGTTTGTATGAATTTATAACAGGAACATATTGTAATGAGTTTTATAAAAGTAAAGGATTTACTAAATTATTGATATTACCAAGAAATCAGTTCTTAAAAATATTAAGAGAATTTCCAGAGGATAAAGAAAAATATTGTTAAATTAGAGATGATTTACTTTACAATAATGGTGAGTAATTTTTAAGAGATATAGGAGTTTAATGTTACATATGTAATTCAAGGGATCATATAAGCAAATTTTGTCCAATGGTACATTATTGTGCAGATAAAGAAAAAATAATTAAATCTCATACATATATAATAAAATAACCTAGATAAAAATAAAGAAGAAAAGTTAGAAGTATCTAATTTAATGGAAAGATTGATTAAAAAATAATAATGGAAATAGCATAATATTTTAAAGAAGATTTTTGGAAATAATGTCAATATTATGAAGTAAATGATATTGATTAAGAAAAACAATAATCTCCTCAATATAGTATTGCTTCGGATGAAGTTAAAGATTATATTAAATAACCTCCACAATTACAAGTAGCTAAAACTTCCTAAATTATTTAAAATAAACAAATAATAAAATAACAAAGAATTGGATAGTTGAATGAAATACAATAATCAAGAAGAGCTGCTCGATAAAATACTATTTCACCTTTAATGAAATTTTCAACAAATCAATAAATTGCTGATTAATATGCTTAAAATGAATTGAAAGTGTTACCTAGAGCACATTCTTCTCTAGTAGAAAATGTAAGCTAATAGGAAAGTCAAATCACTCCTGAAAAACAAGAGGAAGAAGATGGAACAGCATAGAAAAGCAATCAACAAATAATATCAATTAAAGGGGAGTAAATTTAAACAAAAAAAAGATGTATGCCATAACCTTAATAATCTTAATTTATTAAAAGAATTAAAAATCTAAAATTAGAAATTGAAAAGGATCCTTAAAAGAAAATGAGTTTATTAACAGTTACAAATATGGAACTTCAAGAGAATTGGTAATCTTTAGAATAAAGGATAATATAATTAAAATAATTTTAGGAGCAGGAAATATCAGTAATGTAATTATAAAATTTATCTAATTTAATTTAACATTAGTTAAATGATAAATTTATGAAATTAGAAAACTTTGATTTATAGAAAGATTTTTAATATTATTAGCCTCATAATAATTTTACATAATTATAAGTAAGTAATTGTTATAATAAACATCTAATTGAAAATTTATCTAGATTTATCAAATATTTATTTTATCCATTTGTTTATATTCATAAATACACTAAATTGGATGCTGAAGAAGACTATAAATTGGAGAGGTAAAGAAAAACTATGTCATTTTCCAAAAAAAAGGCAACTATAGTAATTAAGTTTAGAGATAAAGCAAAATAAATTATAAATAGTAGAAGAATAGTACCAGAATGAGAGTATTTTGATCATATATATTTATTGTCTAATAAAAATTAATAAATAATAATTGAAAATATGAAATTTATTGAGAAAATTACTAAATTTATTATGTATTTTTATCAAATATCTTATAATGGAATTGTTAAAAGACTCTCTTCCTAATTGAATCAAGACTACAAACATTGTGATTCAATTTACATATTTTTGTGATTCTAAATTTCTTTATTTGATATCAACCTTAATAAGTTAATGGTCTTGAGATTATATTCTTAAGATGCAACTTAATCAAACAATATATATATATATCTAATTAAATCATTGATCTTCTGATTAATTATCTTTTTGGATGATTTCAGCTGAATTGGTACCATATAATTCATTTGGCAATTATTAGAAGTAATTAAAGTTAAATTGCATTTATTAAGGATGTGGAAAACCAAAGTTGTAAAATTAATTCTTTTCATCATATACTTATTGAGGATTCATAATAAATTATTGAAGATAAACAGATGGGTCTTATTAAACTAATTTTTCATCATCTTTATTTGCTTAATCCAAATATTACATCATAAATGGAACCTATTGCAATTGCATCATCTAGAAATCCTATAATCTCATTCTTTAATATTTACAAAAGGTTATTATGGGAAATAAGGAGCAGAAGGCTAAAACATAAATTAAGGAAAACAAGCATTTTCTATGAATCCATTATTAGATTTATCTATTTAAGAGTTACTTTCTTTTTTCTTACGACCAGCTCCTTTTTACCTCTTTTTTACTTAATGAGAGAAAGGATTAAATTTTTGATGGTGAGATCTTGAAATATGCAAAATTAATTATACCTACATTATGAAGGACTTCTTGTTCCAATTGTTTCACTCATGAGTTTAAATATTTTTGAGGTTTTTTTTTAATCAGAGGATTCCATTACTGATCTATGTACATTGAGAAAATTTATGTAAGTTTTATGTTCTTCTTCACTCCAATGTCCTGTACTCTATTATGGGTTTAAAATTGCTCTCTTTTTATTTTTTCTCTTTATTGGCTACTGAACTTATCCTAAAGTTGGTTAAGCATTAGCATCAGGAGCTTCTTCTTATTTTTAATATTCTTCTTGGCTCATCAATAGTTGTAGTTTTTGATTGGATTATTAAATAATAAATATATTAAATATAGAGAGTGCTGATAGGATAGTAGAAACTATTAAATAAAGTTAATATATTGTAATGTATTTGTTTCACTATTTGAATAAACTGGGTTGAGGACCACCAGGACCAAATGGCATTTTAGGTCCTTCCAAACCTAGATGTGATTAAATATAAAAGGATACCAAATATTTTTTGTATATTAGATTTAAATATGAGTGCTGATAAAATATAAATGAATATATAGGAACAATCTGTTAAATCCTCTCCATTAAGTCCTCTATGAGTTATTTATTATAGAATCCAAAATGGTTCAAATGGCAATTTTGCCACAACAATTCCTGAATAATAATTACCAATTGAATTAATTGTAACAATAGATAGTATAGCTACTGCAGCATTTGATATCATCTTTTTGAATGTCATTTCATAATTTAATCCTTTAATTTATGATTCAATTTGTGATAATCTTTTCTCTTGATTTTTAGCATTAGTTTCTCTTGTAAACATAAATGATAACAATTTACTTGACAAATTATTCTTTCTCTTTATTATATTTGGCTACAGCAGTCTCAATTCTAGATACAAGGTCTTTGTAATCTGCATTTCGATAAACGAGAAACCATGAAACTAATTCACCAACTGAAATCGAAATGGCAGCTCCAACAATGATGAAGAGTGTTTCTCCTATATTTATATCCATTTATAAATTTAATCATTTATTGATTTTAAATACTTTAATTTTCAAAGCTTCGCTAATTTATCTAGTTATATTGTACAAGAAATGGATATGTACAAGAACAGTTATCAAAGCTGTTATTTATAATAACAATCCCTCTTCAATTAAGCAATTTCCAAAAAATTGTCCATATATCGTATTGAACAGCAATACACAGAAGAGATAAATAGAATTCAAATAATTAGGTAATTCTTAATTGCTGACATGATATACTGCCACAATACCCTTAAATAAATATGATGTAAATACCACAGCTTTACTCATTGTAAAACCAAAAATATATAGAATTGCTCTCATGTGTCTGGAACCAACATCGCTTGGAGAAAAGAGTATGACATAAAATAACACCAAACCTATGAATAGCATATACCTCTAAGATTTTAGGGCTTTGGAAAGAGGGACAAATTTTGTAATTTTCTTGAACCTTGATAAATATTTAAATTTTTATTTACACAAAAGGAAGTCCAAAGGCTACAACAAAAAAAAACATAATTATTGCCACTGTGTTGAATTATAAATTATAAAATTGTGGTATTTTCTAGGTCCAAAACTCACATCCTATAATAAATAAAATTTAAAAAATACCAAAAATGGCATTTATGGCAAATAATGATCCAACAAAAACAGTTCCTTCTGCAGCAGCATTAATTATTGGTAAATTCATTTCATGTGTGTAATATTCTTCATGGGCTATGATATAGAATGGATAAGTTGGAACACAAATTAATAAGAATGCTAATAATGATTGTCCGCATTATAGACATGTGACGAAATTTGTACCTAAATTACGTCCATAAATTACCTTATATTGCAATGATCATAGAATCAAAATTATGATCCAAAATCATACCCAAAGGAGATGAATTGTCTACAAATACAATTTATTAATTAAATTACTTGTTCTTCTTGCTTATTTTCCATCTAAATTATCAAAATTCTAATTTAGGTAAATTATAATTACCATATAGATCATGTGTAAAATGAACGTTGTCCACAATAACCAATCTGGTATCGTTCCTTAAAAGTTGTCTCCCATCACAAAATAAAATAATATGTGGCAAATTATGATGCAAATCAGTCCCAACAGGGTAAGTGTATTAGGACTTTTTTTTTAAGAATATTCTTTTACGCCACATTTAAAGGCACATACTTCAAACACCAATTAGCAAAAGGTGAGAGGACATAGTTATACAGCAACGATTAATCTGTACCCTTGTATTTGTATGTTTTTAAAAACTTCAAATTTTCTTAGGCAATAAAGTCATAATTTAATAAATTCATATTTTTATTAATAATGTATACAACACCTCCTTTCTCTCATAATTATTCAAACCCAGTGCTTATGAAAGATGATGTTGGAAAACCAAAACCCTCAACATATAATTTACCAAAATAAGATTTCGTTTATGGCCTTCCACTTATAAGAGATAAAGAAGGAGCAAAAGAAGGTAATTATATACTTTACTAATATATTCCAGTAACAATGACCTGGAAATTTCATCAAGAATCTTAAGATAGAATTCCAAATCGAGATTTTGCTGAACTCAATAAGATGTCTGTTTTTAATGGATCTCTTAATGCTCATGTAACTTAATTGATTTTACTTGAAGGATATGTATAAATTCAGATAAACTCATGATGCTCGATTACAAGTTAAAAAAGGCACTAACATTTAAGCTATTGAATTACCAGAGGAAGAGTTTAGATATGGAAGAAAAAACAGGTTTATATTATCAACTATATATACTACTTAGACCATCGACTCCTATGAAATTAGTTATGGGTAATTCTTATGGAATAGAAGCTGCATCAATGACTTTGGATAAATATTACAAAAGGGCTGGCTCACAAGTATCATCAATTACCTTTTATCATTTAGGAATCCAAAATGACAAATACAATTGTCAGACCTAATAAGGCATCATAATTATTTCATGAAAGTAATCACAAAAAATTAGCAGTGATCAAAGGAACAGAAAAAAAAGAACCATTTAAAATGGAAAAATTTAAGACAGTGAGCGCTAGAACAGATACAAACCTCATATCAAAAAAAGAGTGATTATCTTAATTTATTTATTGATGAATTAAATCAAAAAATTATTAGTCAAAAATAGAATTACATTTTCACTATTCTTAAACCTTATAAGCATGAGAAGATTTCTCAATTATTCAAATTTATTTAGAAAACTGTATACAAATATTAAGTAGATTACAATTAATCTAAACAAAACATCAATAACTATTCAAAATGTGTGATTAAATTACAAAAATCTGGAACTACTTTAGCTTAATTAAATAGATAGATTTTACAAGAAAAATGTGAATAGAATTATATATGCAAGAAATTGAATAGATGACATCTAAGCTATTATGTAAAAAATATAAAAATAATTTCATGATATAACTGAGTAATTTGGAGATGCTTTTAAAAACTTGCTTAATAATTAATTCTTTGATATTTCTAAAATATAATAAATCTAATTCCAATTGAAAATATTTGTGAATGGGACTTAAAAAATTAGAAAGTTCAAGAGATAAAACTAGTAAGTATGATCAGATTTAAAGGGCTTTTTAAACTCTAGACATGGCTCTATTGTTTCAACCTTGAAATTTATAAATGTTGATGAATTATGTACGAAATACAGACAAATTGATTCATATGGAAACTTTCCTTTAAGTAAATAAAAGTAAATATGATATTTTGATTTATAATAGGAATCATTCATTTTATTATTGATCTCTCAAATAATCTCTTTAATTATAAACTTTTATTCGTGTGCTTGTTATTAAATTCAATTCATTCTTCTAATCAAATATCATTTATTGAATAGTTGATTCTAAACCATAAATTTAAATCCAATTTTTGAAACTTTTTTTGAGGAGAGAAAACTTGCAATGTGATTTATTTCCCAAAATTCATGGACTTTTATTTGATTAGTACTACCAAAATTAATTTGTTTAATAGAATAAAAAACTAATTAGAAATCATTTCATTTCATTACATTACTCAAACTTATTTATTCTTTATTAATTGTGTATTATAACAAAATAAACTACATGAAATTGATATTTCTTTGATTTATATTTAATTATTAAAGAATGTTCAAATTCATAAAAGCTTATATAATGATCCTTAAATAACATTATAAAATAAACATGCCACAAAAAAGAAAAATGAAATAATTTTATATTTGAATTTTATTAATAAAAATTATTAAATTATTTAGATAGTATTATAAAAAAATTTTAGTATGCAATAAACCAATATGTTATCGAAAATTTTCTTATGTGTTAATAAGGATGGGTAAGCAGAGTTTATAAATTATGATTCAATGTTATAGGGTGAAACCATATAATTATTATGCAAAGGATGCTATGAAAAAAAAAGTTTAGAAAATTCGAAAGCCCTTCCCTAAGGAAAAGCATTTGACGAAGCTTAATAATAATTTAATCTCGTTTGGAATAGGATTGAAACAAAAATAAACAAGATTTCTGAATTAGTGTAATAGGCTTAAGTTTTTAGATCATAATTTCTATCATTTTTTGATCAATTCTTTTCATATCTCGACTAATGGTAAAGATCTTTAACAAATTTAAATGAAAAGTCTAAAAAAATTTATGAACTAAACTATTTCAATACAAAATTAATATAATAGCAAGAAAAATTATTTAATTCATCAAACTAGATATATATCACAAAGCTTTGCAATCGTTTCAGAGATTTTAATTTGAATTGTTAGAGGGAATAGTAAAAATTTTCAATACTTCTTACCTAATTAATAAAAGAGACATAAAATATAGTCCCAAATTAAATATAAAATGTAGTTCCAGATTAAACATAAAATGTAGTCCCAGATTAAAAGATTGAATTGAAAATTGATTCAATAGTGCCCTAACAGGAATGTTGCTTAAACATTGCTTTTAATTCTTCAAATTCAATAATGATATCAACTCAAGTCTTCAATATTTTAACTTGGACATTCAATATGGGAAAAATTAAAACATAATAATCTTTGATTAAGCACAAGGATTGGGTTAATTGTATAGTTTATAGCAAGGAAAAGGAGGTATTCTTTTCAGGATCAGATGATAAAACAATAATTATTTGGCAATTATAAGAAAATGGTTGGAGAAGTTCAAAACCTTTTGAAAAACATTAAGTTAATTGTCTATTATTAAATTAAAAGGAGGATTAATTATTTTCTTGTGGGAATAATCATTAAATTATAGTATGGAAGATAAACTTAGAAATGAATGAATTAATTTATTAATATGAATTGAATAAACACAAAAGTTCTGTATTCTCAATGTCATTAAATTAATCAGAATCTACATTAGTGTCTTGTGGGGATGAAAAGCATGAAATAATAGTTTGGGAAAAAGGAAAGGATAATAAAATGAAGTTTAAATATTTTGTTAAGTAATAGCAATCATAAAATTATTTTGGTAAAAAGTTGTTCTTTCTATCAGAAAAAATTTTTATTTGGGTTACTGCAACTAAAGAAGTAGATAAAATATTTGTTTTTGAGATTAAAAATGAAGTTTTTCAAGAAAATTAATAAAAAACTATTGAATTAATTTAAGAAAAAGAATAAGATGATATGTTTCTATTTCCAATTATTAGAGAGAAGAATTCTAATATGATTATTATTAGACACAAAACTCATATATATTTCCTCAAAGATTTAGGTTCAGGAAAGCTAAAAATTGCTTAATAAATTAATTGTGAAACAACACATATTTATGGAACGATAACTAATAATTTGTCACATTTATTATATTGGGATAACAAAACAGGAGGGTATAAAATTTATTAAATAAAACAAACTGAACAATTTCTTAATTTATGATTTATTAAAAAATAATTAAACAAAATGATTATCTCTGTTTATTATTTTTAAAAATCTATATTTTATTTAAATAAATTGTTTTTACTTAACTAATTATCGATATATTATTTTTAACTAAATGTTTTAATTATATGATATTCTTTAGATTAATTATATTATTATTTTGAATAATAATTGATATATTTTATATACCTATCTAAAGGGAGTAAGTACAATTTAATTTGGCAAAATATGGTTTTTCAATAATAATTTTTATTTACATAAGGCATTTTGGGTTAAGTCTGTATTCTTTAAATTGAGAAAACTGAAATGTAATTATATAAGGGATATAAATATCAAAATAAAAATAGTGATCTAAAAGTATTAAATTACTATATAAATGAAAAAAAAAATGAAATTAGGTCGATATTGACAATCTAATAAAATCTACAATAGGATTTAACAAAGAGAATATTAAAATATGAGTGATTAATCAAGTAAAATTAGTCATTTCTCACAAATAACTTAACAATTATTGTCAAAGAGTTTTATAATTAGTTGAATATCCTCCTTAAGATTTCATATGGAGAAGAGGGGTTATTTTAAAAAAGCTTCTGCATCACTTTATTCAAGAAGTTGAAATTAAACTTTAGGGTAAAATTAATAAAATTAATATAGCAGACTTTTGGTTTTTTATAGTTTGTATTTAACTCCAAGACTTCAGCAAAAAGTTAGATTTACGAAGATTGCTATTTAATAAATTATTTTTATACAATAAGCAGTTCTAGAAGTTTTACAATTTAATAGAAATAATTTTGACAATTTTCATCACATTAATGATTCTTTTAATAAAATGATAGAATTATGATTTAAGCTGTCAATTTTATTCCTCCATTTATTAAGAGATCGATTTTCCAATTCTCATTCTTTCTTGTTTAATTATGATTTAAAGAAGATATAAAAAATCGTTTTAAATGATGAAGATCCTGAATAATTTCATTTTATCCATAACTAAAAGTTTTGAAATTAGAGAATTTTTTAGAAAAAAAAGTTTATTAAGCTTAAGCTTAATGTATTTTTTGACAGTTCAAGATTTCTTCATCCCAATTTAATATGATCAAAGTAAGCCATTTTAGAATTACTTTTCTTCAGGGAATGGCTAATTTTTAATTTAAAAATTAGTTAAAACTGATTTAAAATACAATTAAAAAAGTCTTAAGGCTTTTCTCTAAGTTATTAGAAACTCCAGAATTGAAGATAATTAATTTGGAAAATTTCGAAATTATCAAATGACATTTATGCTAATATATATTTAAATATAATATGAAGTAATAGGTGTAAATTATTTTCAGATCAATTTTTCTCCAAATACATTAATTAGTTTCTAAAAAGTCCATTTTTAAGATATACTCAAGCTGTCACATTTCCCCATTATAAAAATGAAAAAGCATGTGGTTAACAAAAATAAAAAATAATAAATGATTATTTGCTAGCCTATTATAATATGAACTAATTAGAGATATTATTAAAGTTTAAGCTGTAATAATCTATTATTGGCCAATATATCTCAGTTGAAATAGACTAAAAAACATACTAAAATGAGCAAAGCTGTTAATAATAAACACACTACTTTAAAGGATCAACATTATCTCAAAGTATAGATGTGGTTAAACTTAATATTCTATGATTAACTCAGCTTGTATTCTTTATTAAGAAAACAGAATTCTTGCAACAAACCTGGTTATTGAAATGGAAGATAAAAAATAATCAATTAATTTTTAAATTGATGACTTTAAATCATGAAATCAAATTCTTTTTATCAAATTTAGTGGGTGTTAAATTTTGTAAACCAAGTTACTTTATAAGCTCTTTGCTGTTATGCGATCCATTGTTGGAAATCGAAGAATAAGGGGTTTTTTTAACGATATCTATTTTTTCTTCAAGTAGATCAAAGGATAACTAAAATTTACTTGGGATATTGACTAAATCGCAATTATAGTAATCATCAATATATTTTTAAGGCACATCTCTCAAATAACTTACCCTCTAACGTGCTCAGTGAAAATTAACAAATCTTTTTCCAAAATCATTGTAATAAATTAAATCTTCATAGTTATGGCCTCTTTGGCATTTTATCATAGTGTGAACAAACGGAGATTTTTAATTAGCCATTTTTATTACCAAATGAAAATTAATTTAGAGCAAAAATAAATTTTCCTTCTTAAACCTTCTAATTCTATTAAATGAATATAATTTATGATTAATTTGGTACAAATAGAAAGAAAATAGTTTTTTAGAAATAAATGAGCCTTAAAATAAAATATTACTTTAAACTTGTCAAATGAATTTTCAAAGATTCAATAATATTTGAACTTTTTGATCACATCAAGCTTCATCTTCAAAGGATTACACAGAAGAAATTTATCTAGTAGCTTAGTTTATTTAATTTTAGGCTATTTTAAATCAATTTGTATAGGAGAAAAGGTAGAGACCAAACTTTCTAAAAAAATTGAAGATTGGCAATTTTTTTTTGATTCTTCTTAAAACTAGTTACATTATAATCTAATCTAAAACTTCAATAAGAAGTATTTTTTTTAATTATAAATAGTAAAAATAGCAATCATAAACCTTTGAGAATAGCAAATATTTTCAATTTTTAATTACTTATTTTAAATCCACTTTATAAATTAAATTATTAATGAAGTAAAAGATTAAATCTTTTCTAATATTATTCTAAATTTGCCTTTTTACTGTGAATGTCTTGTAAAAAGGATGCTGTATTAATAATCTTTTAATTTTAGCTTCATAAGTAGATCAATTATAAATGTTTCCAACTTAAGGAGAAAAATTATAAATAAATCTTCATGTTCACCTATTTGAGGGAGAAGATCTTACTTATGATTTAAAAGACGAATATTTTAAAATAGTAAATCCGGTTGCAAATACAGGGAACAGCTCAATTCATGCGACTTGTATTTTTAAATTTAATTCATTTAGCTGCAACTAATATCAGATCGGTAAAAGCTTTTCGATCCAGGTAAACTTAATAATGGATGAATTCGTTTGTCTTTTTAGACCAAAGTGAGACAGAAGTGTCAATTTTTTTTTCAGAAGGGTATTAGTCTATGTAGAATATAGATCCATTTAAGATAAAATTCCAACCTCGGATTTTAAAAATAAGGTGAAAATTGCACCAGTGAGTAATGGTCTATAGTGTTTCGATGTAGAATACATTGAAAACAATAAATTCATAATTGATTGCTAAAAGGAAGTGATTGAGGATTAAATTACAAAATAAACTGATGTATTTTATCTCTACTCGAAATAAACAAAAGATATAACTTCTTTTGAAGATGAAGCATTCGTCAAATTATACAACCAAAGATATATAGGGTTGTATTATTAAAAAAGTGAATTAGGAAATGAAACAACTTACATTGTTAGAGTTACACCAAGTTATTCTTTGAAACCTAAAGAAAAACCTTATTAAAATCCAATTGTGTAAACTTATATATTGAGTAAAAATGATTAACCTCTACTTACAAACTATCTTTTAGATGATGTCGACACTGCAATTTTGTTCAGAAGAAGTGATCTTAAATTTAATATAGTGGATTTCAAGATTTCTTATAATGGATTCATTTACTTACTAGACTTCTTACAGGGTCTGGTGGTGGTCAAATTATTGTAAACAGGGGAATGGAATTTAGTTCATAAATTTTATGAATTTGAGGAAAAAAAATATTGTTTGCCTTCGATCATAGTCAAGAAGAGAAATTGAACTACTCTGAAGATGGTATGATTGCATTTCTTTAATAAAACAGCTTTTCTGTTTCATATAAAAAATTTTATGGTACTCAATGACTGCCATTTACCCAATTAGATTATCCAGGCAGTATTAAAATATCTCAGGATAATATTATAGTAAGAAATGATAAAAAGGCTTATTTTTATAAATATGATTTTGAAAATCATAGATTCTACCTTAATATCTATATTTTCCTGGAAGCGATAAGCTTTAAGAAAAGAAAGTCATTGTTATTAAAGCCAAAGCCCCAAATAATCAATAATGTGTAGTTTCCCTAACATATTAAATTATCGAAGATAATGAAAATTGGATTTATAGGCTAGATGATCAATCCATGCCTTTTCCAAAATCGATTGCAGAAGGCCAAGCTCAATCGATAATGAAAAAATAGGCCTCAGGACCTAATCTTTAAGATAAATTAACTAAACCAGTAAAAATTGGAGGTACAGAAATTACCGCTTCTATAGGAAGAAGAGTAAAACTAATTTTAAGTCCTAATTAGCCAAAAAATGTGATCTTTGCTTAAATGATTTCAATTTAAGATGATAGAATCGTCTATTAATTTTTGTAAACTGAAGATTTGACACTTCAACTTCTAAGATGCATTTATTCTCCAATTGACAAGAATACATTATAATGTGAAGTTTTTCTTAAGGTTATAGGTATTTCAAATAGATTAACCAGGTAAAATTGTTAAATTTTGTATCCAAAATTCGAAGTTGAATCTAATTTTACATTTTATTTAATGTACATAGATATAGATTATAGTGTTTAGATTTTAGGAATTATAGAAGACTTTTAAGCTTTTTAAAATCTAAAAACAATAAAATTAGATTCTACAGACTCCTCAAATTCTATCTTAAGTATTTTTAAATACATGGATTATCTTTTAATTCATACAGCTAATAAGAATATTTTAACATTCTTCATTAACAGACCTGAGCTTTTTGTATTAGCAACTTTAGACAAAAGTTCATTTTTATAATATGATTATGAAGATTGGGACCCAAAAGCATTTTTTACAAATAAATAATTAAATCCAAACATTCTTTTTATTTAACATAACAACAATATTTTAATTTTAGACTCAAATTTAGCTTTGTTTTAATTCATTACAACTTTACAAATTACTCCAAAATTAGATTATTCAGTTGCAATAGGAAAAGATACTTTCTTTGTTGTCCAAGGCAAATCATCTAATGATGCAAAAGATGCTTAAATCTATGAATACAACTTTGCAGATATAAAACATGTCTATTTGCAAAAAAAATTATACTTATATTGGTATGATATTTCAACTCCTTTAAATGCTGACTTTAATGAAGAAACTGGTCATTTGTTTGTTAGAGGTGTCTGTTTATACAGTAATAAATCTTATGTCTTGGTAGTCAAACCTAATACTCCTCAACATGAGGCCTTAGACCAAGCTTGGGATATTGCTGGTGTACTTATTCCTGACTCAAAAAAAATATTAATTGCTTCATATGGATTACATTAAACTTATTTGTATTTAAATGTTGAAGGAGAACAAAAACTCTTTGCTCTTTACAATGAAACTGTAATGATTATTAACTCCAAAATCAAATAAGATATTTATTCAGATTTCTTTTCCTTAAATTTAAAGATAACTAATTATAATTTCTAAGGCAAGCCTGAGAAATTTAATATTTTAGATATTAATTAATAGATTAAAATCTTCTCTACTTTAAATTAAATTACATTCAATAAGAATGACTTCCCTTTTTCATAATCTGGTCTAAAAATATTATCAATTTACGATACTCAAACCATTAAGTTGGGTAACGAATGGTACTCTGGATAAATTGGAAATTTTACAATCGATTGTGACTAATGCTAAACCAATATTCAATTGTAAGCCACACTTTATCCGATCAATCAATAAATCTTTAATAAATTTGAAATTAGAGATAGTGTCAGATATGATGATGACTAAACTATTATCCAAACAAAAAGTGGATTGTTAATTGTTGATTCTGACAATATTTTGGTTGAAGAATATAATTTTTTCCATCCCTATGATTGCTCTTAAATTACTATTTCAGAAGACAAAAAGCTAATATATTCTTATTGTGGTAGTTAGTATGGATTAATTCATATCACTGAATGTTTGTCAATCCATAATTTTTCTACTTTGGGAACATAACCAATTTATATGGATTCATTGGAGATTTGAAGAAATTTCTACAATAGAATTACATGCTATCAATGAGAAATTGTTAACTCCGTTACAGGATTTTTAGCCAATTGATTTTTCAGTTGTCAGATAAAAAGATTGTGGGAATAATTAATACTCTTATAAACTGATTATTAGCAATTCATGTGATGGGTTTATTTTTATAGACTTCTTTATTACAGATCTGTATGAATTTCTATATTTGTCAATTGAAACACTAAATCTTCATGATTATTTAAATAATGAAGCTAATTAATACACGCTCTCAACAACTAAATTTCTAACGTTTCAATTGTTTTAGGAACCAACTTATGATTAAATTTTAGATTCTTTGAAGATATCTCTCATAATTTTGACTTCTGATGTTTCACAATATGGCTTTCAATTTGAATTTACTGCTCATTCTACAGTTAACACACTCCTGACTACTAAAGCTTTGTCAGCTGTAATTGTCAGATATGGAAATTTTAGTGTAATGAATAAGTTAGCTATCCATGATGTCTACAAGTCATTAGTTATACCTTACAAAGACTAAAATTTCATTTATGTTTGTGTTTATAATTTAGATAATGATTCCTCCTCCCTTATTCCTACTGTTATTATTGGTCGCGTTATCTTATTAAATGAATAAGATTAGGAGAAGAGCCCAGTATGACTAGGTTTGTTTTTTACTAAAAAAGATAATTTTTTTGTTGTCTCATAAATAAAAAATCCACCATTAATTTACGGAATCTAAAAATCCGCAATTCTTATATTGAATAATCAATTAAAAGCTTTAAAGAGCTAAAAAATCACACTAATAGCTTATAATGATTTTCATGAAGAGAGAATACAATTCAATTTGATTGTAAACATAGCCAATAAATATGATTGTATTGCAGAAATTAATAATTTACAGATTTATCCGACTGCTGATGAATTCTTGTAGTGGAAAGTATCATAAAATTTTTTCGATATTGTTTCTCTTAAATATAGTTTCGAACAAGAAGAATCCGATTTTTCAGTTGTTTAATAAATTTAACAAATTGGAGAATAAATAAATCATATATAAGGTAAAATTTATAAATAAATAAAATTAGCTGCAACATAAATTATATCTTCTAAAGCAATGCTAACCAAAAATAAATTATGGTCAAATTAATTTGGATTTCTAAACAAAAATGGTTCAAAATGTTCCATTTTTTTTACAAATAAATAAGTTAACTAATTTATATTAGTACCAACATATCTGGCCCTGCATCATTCAATTAAGTTTTTGAAATTGAAATGCCTGATAGAAATCCTGATTGCATTGATTTTGTTTAATTGTCAACTAATACTTTTATTGCTGATTTACAATACTTAAATTCATCGTTTTTATTTTTAATTGAGGCTACTAACTAAACATACCAATATTCCTTTGAAAATACTTTGTTTAAAAGAGTTTTAGAGCCATTTTAGATATAGGGTTAACAATATTTTGTCAAAGTTTCTTTATCAATAACAACTGATGGTCGATTAGCTAATAATTCTTTTTTTGAATTGTTTTAATATGTTGAAGATTGAATGATCAGTTTTCCAACCTTTGATAAAAATTTCTTATCTTTAATTTCAAAAACATAGATAAATTAATTGAATATAGTAGATATAAAAATTGGTTTGGATGGATATATTTATTTATTAGATGTTAAGTTAGGCATCTTTGTTGTTTAGTTAAGTACAACTTTCAGATTTGTAAAATAAATTTGCTATAATCTTGAGTAAACTTATGCATTTGATAGAATTTTGTTATTCAATAATTAAGAAATTTTTGTTATAAAAGGTAATAATTATTATGCTTTAATGAATTCTGATGGAAATATTTAATCAATAAAATAGCTACCATTTAAAAATTAGAAATATCCTCAAAATATTAAATTAAGTCAAAACTATGTTTTGTTACATAATGAAGGAGAGCTGTATATTTATTATTCTGATGCGAGTACAAATAGTTTGGTAGATATTATAAATTTATAAAAAAGATAAGTAATCATTAATCCCTATAGTTAATAAATAGTCATAGTTTCTTTAAATTCCTCTTCAATTTGGATGTTTGGGATAATTAATATTCAAGAAAAATGCAAAACCTAGTGCAACTCTGAAAAATTTCACAATAATAGGCAAATCTTAAGATTAATTAGTCTGTCAATCAAAAATCCACTACAAAGTATTAGCTAAAAGTAATGAGACAATCTACAGAAAGGTTTATAATGAAACACCTTTCCCTCATATTTTTGACGAGAATAATGGAAAAATTAAGATAGGAAATTTGGCCTCGGGTCCAAATTAGATTTACAATATTTTTTAGCACATATTATCATTGACTCTGCTTTAAAATAAATTCTTTAGTTTTTTTGGGGATTAGGATTAAGATGTTTTTGCTAAGGTTGAACATTAAAGAACTATATAAGTTAACAAATGGCCAAAAAAATCTTTATATTAGACTTCTCTAATAGGCAATAATTAAGAAACTCTATTCTAAGTTTTCTAACTGGAAGCTTATAGAGTTATTATTCAAACTTGTGATTTGATCAATCACGAAAGATAAGTTTGTAAAGAATTTGGAAATTTTACCACGACACAAATATTATCAGATTAAATTTTTAGCATGTGGTAGGATAACAAAAATATTGTTCACTTCATCACTTTAGAGACTCCATTCATAATAAGATTCTACAACATTAGCAATAATAAAACTCAAGAATATGGATTTATTTAATTAAACTAGGATGAAAATAAAGATGAACTCAAAGTAGTAGCATTCAAAAACCAAGGCATTTTTTTATTTGTTATATAATTAAATGGGAACTTGTCATCATATTATATTGAAAATCGTCAAAAAATTAATTATGTTACAGGGGCAAATTTAGGTGGATTTTAAGGAGACTGGAAGCCAATAAGTTTATTTGGAAATAGATTCTTAAGACAAAATGTTTTTTTTGTTTAAAATGAGAACAATATAGCAATAATTAGTTACTGCAATCAAGAATTCTTTTATGAATAAAAGATAGACTACAAAAAGGCAATTAAATATACATAGATTAATCAGTTAATTCATTCTTCCTTGTAAATAACAAAGAATTGAGTGAATACAATTATGAAAAACTTAACAATATTTTCAAACAAAAGAATGTTGAATTATTTGGATATTAAATCCATAATCCTTTAGGTGTCTCATCACACTAATAAACAGGTACTCTAATAATTAGAACTTTCAAAAATGATAATGTATATTTGAACATTTTCAAACCGAATCAATTACAACATGATACCTTTTATTCGGCTGTTTAAATTAATGCCAAAATTGATGATACATTTTCAGTATCTGCATTTTGATCAGAATCAATAGGATCTGCATATGTAATAACAATAGTATACAGCGAAGAAGTTTAGTAATTAGATTTTATTGTACTTGATCCTTAATTAATTCTTATACCTAACGAAATGAAATAAAAATATCTTACTGATTATGAAATTAAAATTAATGTTAACAATGCTGATTCCTAAAATAATAATTTACTTGCATTCACATAAAAGGTTAAAGTAATCAATACATTTACAAATCTAATTGTTGATGATACAAAATTGATTTAATAAATTGATATTGAACCAAAATAAAATTCAACTTCTATTAAGTTAAAAAATTAATGGATTAGTGGATAATAAGCTTATTGTACACTAAAATAGGAAAAAGCTAATGATATAGTCTTATAATAATATCTCTAAGAAACTATAAATGATGCACTTAAAATTACTAATTCTAAGATGCTTCAGTTTTCTAAAAGAATTTGATTCTTTAAGCTACAAACACAGTCTTTTTAATGAAAGATAATAAATTAGAAGAAAGCAAATCAATTCTTGATTTTCTAGGTTAAGATTACAATTGCTTCAGAATAACATTTTATTAAAAGTCTATATATTCACTTTGTAATAATGGAGTTGAAGATTAAATCTAAGTGGCTAGTTGTAATGATAAATAAGAATGTAAAAGAGAAAATGCTTATATTTCAGTACTATTTGCCATTTAAATTGTAGCTTTGGCTTAAGATGTTGTTGTAATTCTTCATACTGATTCATTAAATCCTGAAAATTATGATGGATATATTACTATTCGTAAATTGGTATTAATTGATGGTATTTGGTTATCCAATCTATTATTTACTATTGATTATGATTTCATTCAATCTAAATTAGGAGCATAAACACCTTAATCATTTAAACCATCTTCATTTGTTCATTCATTGACTCACTCTGAAAAAAATTCATTTGCATTTTAAATCATAATATCCGATAGCATAAATGGGTTGTTATTTATTGATTTATGTATTTCAAATCTTACATTTGACATCAAATTTTTATTTATGGAGCATTTGTTACTTAATAAATGGTTGAATGATAATAAATAATATGCTAACGATTTTACTCATTAATATTCTAATAAGATTATAGAAGAATCAATCAAGGATTAAACCAAGACTATCACAATAGTAGTTGTTACTGATAATTCTTCATCTTATATTTTTGCTCTTACATTTGCCATTTCTGATAACCATTCAAATAAGCTGAAAGATACTAAAGTTATCGTGGCTCTTAATAAATACGGCGCATGGAAAGCATTGAACACTGTGGCTGCTAATAAATAATCAGTTATTATGGCATTTGCACATAATTCAAAAGTTGTGGTTGGTGTTTATCAGATTTCAGATAATAAGCAATAACAGGTTCCTTTTAATTTACAATTTCTGGAATATCAACACTAAAACCAGCTAATTTCCCGCTTTATTTACAAGTAATTATATCTCACCATACTTTAGGATTCAACTTTAATATCAAGTAAAGTCAGTATGGGATTAAATCAATATGAGATCAGATAGGATATAAGTTTGAGCTTTGGACAAAGTGCCAAACTTGAAGACCAAACCTTAAAAATAACATTTTCTAATGATTACAAATCTATTTCTAAATAAATTAAATTAAATATCAAACCAGATAATGAAGGATCAAGTTTTAAAGCTTGGTAGATAATACTAATTGTAGTTGGATTTTTGCTTATTTTTTGTTTTTTAGGATTTCTTTGTTATAAAAAGAAGAGAAATGAGGAAGAAGTTTAGGAAACAAGGCTAATGCATATTAATTGAGAAAATCATTTACAAAATTATTATAAAATTAATTTATTTGTTTATAATATTCTAATTATACTGTTTTCTCCAAACATTAATTAAGATTCACTCATAATTAAAAAGAATGAATTTTTAATTCATAAACACCTTTTCAGTAAATTCATTTTTATGCTTAAGTTCTAAGATCTGACTGAGATTAATTGCTACCAAAATAATCTGATTGAAGTTCGAGCACTTCATAAATTTATGATGTGAGATAATATGCAGTTATCATTTGAAAATATAAAAAAAATACCAAAAAAAAATTTTACTATTGTCTAAATATACATTAGCTTCTGGTAGTGATGATGAGTCTATCCGTCTATGGGATGTCAAAACAGGATAATAAAAAGCCAAATTAGATGGTCAGACTAATTGGGTCTACTCAGTCTGTTTCTCTCCTGATGGAAATACATTAGCTTCTGGTATTGATGATAAGTCTATCCGTCTTTGGGATGTCAAAACAGGATAATAAAAAGCCAAATTAGATGGTCATACTAGTTATGTCTTCTCAGTATATTTCTCTCCTGATGGAAATACATTAGCTTCTGGTAGTTATGATAACTCTATCCGTCTATGGGATGTCAAAACAGGATAATAAAAAGCCAAATTAGATGGTCATAGTGGTTGTGTCTACTCAGTCTGTTTCTCTCCTGATGGAAATACATTAGCTTCTGGTAGT